TTTCGCCCTAATCTGCCGAGGCTTCGGCTGTCTTCCCATAGCCAGAACTCCCCTTCCCAGCCTTTTTAGTCCTGCGCCCCGACCCGTCCCTCGTCGCAACGCGAAATCTGACGATGGACCCGCCCTTTTGACGCTGATTATAAATGTACGACCAAGCCTCGACCCCCGCCCACTTCCGAGCCATTTATTTGGGTTTGCCTTAATTACCCGAACCAACTCCCCACCTCCGCCCCATCCCCCCTTTTCTTGGCTCGAGATGGGGGGATTGGTGGCCTAGTTGCTTCCTCGATCCGCTGTTGCTGCAGATGGTGAAGACAAAAGTACCCGGAATTCTTGTTGATAGCAAGCAATCGCGAATGCTTCCAGCGCCGCTTATAAGGTGCCTTTCCCTTCGAGTTTTTTGGGGAACACGAGCAAAGGTTTGCACAGCAGGCCAAGGCAATGATTTCGTTTTGCAAACGTGGTCAAAACAGCACACGGCGCCCAAAGTATTGTCTTTCTGACTGGGTGGGGTAAAGACAAGCAACCACAAGCCTCCGACGGCAAGTACCTCCCACCACCGCTACATACCGCTATCACGACCACCACTTCAACGACCACTAGCACTAGCACGAGCACTACCACCACCTCTACCGCTACCACCACACACACACACACACACCACATCCCACACGACACCCCGCACCACACTCCCCTCCTCGCGGCTGACTACCAAGACCACCACCAGGGGGCGTGTCGGCCGAGCCGGGTACACACAGCGGTTAAATCAGACTGGTGACTAGAATACTGCAAGAGTCGGTGTTGCACATCAGCTGAAGGCCTGACAGCTGCCAACCTCTCCCGAATCAGTTCCTAAAGCTGTTCCGTCGCATCTGGACCGATCTGAGGTGTAGTAAGCACGAACTCAAAAGCCCACTTTAAATCCCTGAACCCGCCTGGCCTGGATCGTCGACTTGGACCTGCCAGGCGATGGAATGGAAAACATTGGTCGCTTCATAAACCTGGGAGGACGCCTCCCCCAAGTGGCTTTATATGGATTCGTAGTGTTCTAGTGGGGAATGATAGGATTCCAGACGAAGTTGGCTGTCTTGAAGTTGTGCATACCTACTACTACTACTACCAGTACTACTACTACTACTACTACTACTACTTCTACTACTACTACTACTACTACTACTACTACTACTACTACTACTACTACTACTACTACTACTACTACCAATACTACTACTCCTGCTACTACTACTCCTGCTGCTACTACTAGTACTACTACTACTACTACTACTCCTGCTATTACTACTCCTGCTACTACTACTCCTGCTGCTACTACTCCTACTCCTACTCCTACTCCTACTCCTACTCCTACTCCTACTCCCACTCCTACTCCTACTCCTACTACTACTACTACTACTACTACCACTACTACTACTACTACTACTACTACTACTACTACTACTACTACTACTACTACTACTACTACTACTACTGCTACTGCTACTGCTAGTTCGACTGCGACTGGAACTACTGCCTATGGTCATAGTATCCTAGTACTGACGCTCCAGGTTCGAGTCCCGTAGTTTTGGTGTTCAGCATGAAAACATGATGTGCAGCACGGTGCTGCGAGCCTGAAATCAAGGGGCTTGACTCCTTTCAATAGCAAAGCTTTGCTTCGTGCAGTGGTGAGCCATGAAATCTGTGTCTACGTCCCGATGCACGGCGCCAGTCTGGCAGTTTTCACTGTCTTGGCTTCATCACCCTGGCTGGGAAGCAAACATGTGGCTTGTGCTCTGAGTCGTAGCTACGACCTAGACCAACATGAGAACGGCAGCGAATGAACCTCGCGTGGCAAATACCTCGGACCAAAGCGAGGGTCCCATACCGATAGCAAGCAGTGTACGGCGAAGAAGGTCAGGGTTGACGACGGCAACAGAAATGTCAGTACTGTCAAAGCAACTCATGCAACAAGCCAAACCTGCCTCGAAGCTCCGACTGAAGGCGTTGGTCGCCTTGGCACCGACTCCGTTGCGGCCGCCTGTGAATCGAACCTGCCGTGCACGTCTGCTGGGTGTAGAGCTTATGGGTGCTTAGGGTGTGTAGGGCTCTAAAGACGTCTGCTATCCCTAAACCTCGCTGAACCTCCCTAAACCTTAAATGCTTGAAGACGTCCCGTTTCGCCCTCACGGCCGCTGTCGAGTATCACACCACAATGACATGTGCATACATACTTTCTGTCTGTTGTTATACTTACTGAAATGACAGATCGAAGAACACCACGATGACTCTTCCTTCGCAAAGCCCATACCGCTGTCAAGGAACAATATCTACAAAATGAATACAAACTTCACCAACCAAATACACATTCCACAAAGAAGCAACACGTTTTACACCGAGTGCACACGCCCACATGCTCGAACATGGAGGATGCAGCTTCGAAAAGCATAAAGCCAGGCAGCTTGAAACGGGGTCTCCAACCATAACCACAGATGCACTAAGGCTGCGAGTACATCCAGTGCGAATGCATCCAGCCTGTCACTGCTGCTGGTGTGAGTCCCGTGTTACGAACATTCCGAAGACAACCACTTTTGAGTTCGAGAGTCTCGGGCGTATGACCTCAACGCCTCAGTGAATGGGTCTCCACTGCGACTTCAAACTTCGGTAGGCGCCTTCGTATCATTGAAGTTGTCCCCGCTCAGGAACTCGCCGAAGACAAGCGTTGGGACCTGGTTAAAGCGTGTCTCTTTGGGGCTGCTCCCGGAGTCCTAGTAGTAATAATAGTAATAATAAAAATACTAGTAAGAATAATTATAATAGTAGTAACAATAATAATAATAGTAATAGTAAACAAGGCATGGCAAACAACAGGCAGCTTTTGAAGCCTGAGCTCTTCCTGTTTCGAAGACTGGAATTACAGAGAAGCCTTGCGAGAGTGGGGCAGGATGATCACGGCGATGATGATGAAGGTGAAAGAGAACGGTGTGCACACTAACTCTGACTGCAACAGCTGTGTTTTGATGTGGTAATTAAGTACCTTTCCTTACGCTGAGGATAGTGCCGAGCATCCCTTCTTGTCAGACCCTTGCCCTCCAAGGCTGCAGCATAGTGTCCCGACCTGAGACAGAAAACAGCTTACCTTCAAGGCTAGCGCTTGATTTTTCAATGCTGTACTGTCATTGCAGCGATGGCCACAGCTGGTGCTGGTGGAGTGGGATGGGGGGTTGTGGTGGTAGTTAGTGGTTATGGTGGTGCTTTTCACGCGGCCCGGTACCTAGCCTAGCACATCCTAGCACTATCTACCAAGTCTTCTCTTTTGGTAAACCACGGGCTTGTTCTGTGGGCGGATGAATCCGTCGTCAAAGCGGATTGGATTGGAGGAATCCTTGCTCGACCTATGCAGGACTCTGCACCCGACTTTGATATAGGGCCTTCCCTTGGGCAACGCGAAAAGGGGCACCCATGCTCTGCACTCAGTACTCGCAATATCGTTTTTCATGGCCTTGGTCTAGGTCTAGCACCCAACTGCCTAGAACTGTATCAAAGGTTGCATGTTTTGGCTACCCTTCGTTGCACAGCCAGCGGCTCATGCTTCTCGATAGGGATAGGCCCACCATCGTTAGAGATGGTGATGCGCCCAGCCTGGCGAGATGGATGCTTTTGGCTTTCTCTTAGTATGGGTGTCGATTTTGTAGAGCTTGGGATGAACTGCTCCGGATACTGCTTATGTTGAAGGCACGCTTCGAAGGTATGAGTAAAAGGCTGAAGCTGATTCAGACCTAACGTCGGCACGCACTGTGAGACCCAGAAGCTAAACTGCTAGCATAAGTGCGGTAAAAGCCTGCCCTTTAGAAATAGAACTAGAAAACCATCCCGCCAGCTGCCTGCGCAAGTGGTGGGTGGGTCCGGGAAGGGCCAAGAAAGACAAATGCTCGAGTGCACGATTCAACTACACTTTCTCCGAGGCACTGAAATCAAGAAGAAGAGCTTCCTTTCATGTCTGCAGAACCCAAAGTCCCAAAACCTGTGCTATATGGCTCTGCCTTCTCATTCACGTCTACTCGAATCTCTGACATGCCACCTGACCAGCCAGATCCGGATCGAGACTCAGAACGGAGCATGGACATCTGCTACAAAGAAGTTGGTTAGGCACCCTATCACTGAGGCTGTTCGCAGGTAGTTCCTGTCTCTTTTCTGGGAATGTGTTTTGAGAAGTGGAGTCCAGGTAGCGGCACTTGCCTAAACCACTTAGCCTTGTGCGACGTTGGGATCCTCGTGCGCTAGGCAGCCCTCGGATCTTACGAAGCAGTATTTATTTGGGCGAGCAAGGGCTGGAAGCCAGACCTTTCAAGATTAATCTCTTGCCTCCGGCCACCTTCACAAACCTCCACAAGCAGTCTACCAACCAGAGGTTTAGGCAAATCAACCGAGCTCCAAGGAATAGAAGCTGTGGCTACTGGTAGGGAAAAATCTGTAGTCTTCGTGCATTGGCCGCAGCAGTAGCAGTAAGATGTGAAACGAAAGAAGCCAGACAACAACAGCAATGCTCACTACCAGACACCATCCAGTAACGGCCAACCATGGAGTCCCTCACTGAGGCAAGGGGCTTTGGAACTGTCGATCAATAGCGTTCACAAGGATCTCATTGAAGATCTGCACCTTGACATGGCCGCGCTGTCACGCCGCTGAAACTTACTGCTTCGATGCCGCAAGATGATGCACTGGACAAGGCAGAGATACAGAAACCCGGTGGCCGGAAGAATGTCGCAACCCAAACCCCGGGCTGTCTGCACTCACCTTTTCTTTCTGCTTTCTGCAGAACACCAATCGATCGCACCGCTGGCGGTATGCGGCTTCTGGCGCTGCTCCAGTTGCGGCCCCTCTGCCCTTGTCACTCAAGAACATGCTCTTCCCTCCTCAGCGAGGTTATCTGAATCAGGCAGACTCAGCAAAGAAGGCAGCTACTGCCGAAGTGAAAGGGCACGGGCACGAAACCAGGCAGATCGGCTCTAAGCTTTCAGGGCGTGATCCAAATCTTCGATCAGGTCGTCGCAGTCCTTCCGTGGGTCTGACACTTCCACACGGCAAGATGCTTGTCCCTGTGGAAGTGGTAGGAGTGAAATATGCGGCTTCTGACACCCTGCTGTGTTCCCATCACGAAGCAGACTGAAGCTGCAAATTTCTGCCCGTGCACAGGGCCGAGATCGAAACACAATCCAGGAGCATGATCATTGGAGTGCATCCGTGGAACTACGCCAGAACGGCCAACTAGTCCAACAGCTGCTCTTTTGCTAATGCAAGCTGAATCGACACGACTCTTCAACTGTGACCTCCACGCCAACGCTAAGGCGTAGCGTCGTGTCGTAGATGCCGACAGAAGCTCGCTGCTCCTGCGATGTGCTTTAGCCGTCTGAAAGCTCTGTAGACATCCACAGCCAAGAGGTCAGGCTAAAACAGACCCTCTCTATGAAGCTCGACCCGGGCACCAAACCTTGGTCATGGAGCCATGCGACATAGTCGCGCTGTGATTGATCATGCCTGGGGCGGAAACGGATAGCACAGTGCAAGCAGCACAGGGTGATTGAGTGGCAGTGGCAGATAGGAGGAGGAGGAAGAGCCCTTGTTGGTGATACTCGAGGCGGCAAGGGAATCGTAGTAGGGCTCAGCTGTAGTCGTCGTGGTGGTGGCGGTGGTTGCCCTCGTCCAAGCCACACAATCTATTCCGACCGAGGGGCTCTCTACCCCTCCAAGGGACTCGGCCAGGATCCAGAACTTGATCTTGCTGAAGAACCTGCAACCACTTGAAAACTGCACTATAGGGAACGGTCACCCAACATGTTGCCAGAACAAACAGCAACTATCAGGCTGCTGCCTAGATCTCCAGAGCCGGGTAAACCCCTGAAGCCCTAAACCCCTACCAGGCCAGTACAACCCCAAACCCTGAAAGCCTAAACCCGACGATGCCTTCGCATCATGTCCAGATCCTCCTCTCCGGGCCGACCTCTCATGGGCAGATTGCAGCGACAGAACGGCTTGTTAGTTCTGTCTCCAGCATTACTCTTAGTTCTCACGGTACCAGAGTTCGGACTGTTATGGCTATGTGTTGTTGATCTAATTGCCGTAGCTATCGAGCCACATTATAAGTTGGTATACACATGGTTGATTGATTCTGCACCTTTGCTCCTCCCAAGTCTGCATATGTCCATGCTGGCTGAAATCTAATTTGGAATGCAACCGGTCCCGACAGGAAAAGCTGGTGCTGTCAAAGGTGCATAGACTCCGGAGCTCCAAAAGTACAGAACGTGACACTCCGCAGCACACTGCTTAATTCGTATATTGATAAGCATTAAATCAGCAAGTCAGAAGCGGCTTGATAGTTTGACATGAACCCGCAGCCCCAAACCAAACATGAATCCTTGAACTCACCATGCCATGGCCTTTGAAGCGGACAGTGACAACTGCGCCCCCGGAGCGCATCTGCCTGCTGAAACGGCACTGCATGGTGCTGATTTCTGGAGTCAAACGCGGGTGTTGGACCGCACTGTCTTGGTCATTGTGTGCCAAGCATGACCACCAGTGCACGGTACTGAGAGTTCGTACTGGACGTGAACAGAAGAGACTGCCATGAAGCTCTGCGAGAGACAGCGAGCTCAATTCTTGATTCCCCCCCCTCTCTTGCATGTCTGGGGATCAAGAAAATGGTGTTTAGACTCGAAGCTAATCTGGGAGTGGAAGGCGGGAGTACAGCTTCAGCTCATCGGCTTGCGTAGTGCTTGGGGTAGATGGTAGGCCACGTTGTCGCTTCTCGTAGCCATTGCACGGCATGCCCTCGCACGCGAGGCCTCTTGCACAGCTCGTGCTGCGCGTGCCGCGGAAGGCCAGGATAATGCACCTTTCCCAAACATTTTGACCACAGCAAATTTGCCTGTGTCGCTAGGGTATATGCTACACTGGGCGGAAGGAACCAAGTCACCCCCCGACACTCTTTACTTGGAAGCAGTCATGCAGCAAAAGAACGGACACGGCTTTGCTTCGTACCCTCCACCCTTACCTTTGGTTAGTAGGCAATGGAGGAATGGGGTACAATTCTAACTACTATTACTACCAGTCTTCCATTCCCTACGAATCAAAGGTAAGCCCTTCTGAACACGAAACTTCTGCGACCTCGGCAACGCAGGGATGGCCGTCGAGAAACTCCGCTACTCGCTGAGCATTGCAGCATTGCCTTTCGGAGGAGATGCTTGGATTACGTGGCGTCACGCCTACTTATAACCGAAGATGATGTTCGCTGACGTTACTTTCAGCATCGCCGAAGCTGCTTTTGCTCTTTCACGTCCGCATGTGTTTGCTTGCCTTTCGGATTGCTGATATCGCACTCCATCCTCCTCCTCCTCCTCCTCCTCCTCCTCCTCCTCCTCCTCCTCCTCCTCCTCCTCCTCCTCCTCCTCCTCCTGCCCTCCTCCTGTCCTCTCCGCCGCCGGAAGTGGCGGCGAAGCCGGCATCTCCGACTCTGCCTCTCCACCCTCGCACTTCTACTGCTCGTTCTCCTCCTTGTCCTCCCCGCTGTTGCTGCTGCGGCTCCGACAACAACACACCGCAGCTACTGCTGCTACTCCTCCTGCTGCTGCTGCACCACCACCACCACCACCACCACCACCACCAGCACCAGCACCAGCGCCAGCACCACCACCATCAGCACAACCAGCACCCGCACCAGCACCGGCACCAGCACCTGCTACCGAAAAATGCCACCAACACAACCACCACCGCCACGACCACCACCACCCTGCGACGAAAACAAGCGAGAAAAACCTTCGCACCAAAGTCTCCTATCTTCAGCGACACCCGAAATACTCACCTACTTTCGAAGTCCTTTTCCCGATCGGCCTCTCCATCCTCACTGCAAGGGTCTTCATCCCGCGCAGAGCAAGATAGGCCTTCCAAGGTAGTTCGCTGGAACTACGAATGCAACCGATCCGACCAACATTTCCAGCGTCTACCAGTATACTAGCGCTTTTAGCGCTCTTCATGTGCCGAGATGTGCCGAACGTTGCAACACGTTTGCTCATATAAATATGTATATGTGTATATTATATATATATATATATATATATATATATATATACAGAGTAGCTGCACAAACCCCTCGTAGTAAGGGTTGACTTGGGTCCCAGCTTCGGTTCTTAGAGAGGCTCATGGCGCATGGAAGAACATCCGGATCGTCGTTATCTGGACCGACACCAACCCAAATATGAGGACAGCTCCGGACTCAGCAGCTGTTTCAGCCTCGAAGGGGCTGGCTATGCCGCCGACAGCTTTGGCCAAAGAAGCGAGCCTTCCCAGGTGAACTCCAGAGTGCACATGTCTCTGTTCCACACGGCCTTGTGGGCTCTGTGACTCTGTGACCCAACCTACGGCCTCTGGCTCTCATGGCTGACCGCACCGACCCAAAAAGGAAACTCTGAAGCCTTGAGCCTAAAGCCCTCATAATCGCTGAAACCCAGAAGCGACAGGACGACGGCATCTCCCAGCGCCTCTGAGCGAGGCCTGGGTCTTTGGTGACCAGCGCGCCGCCAGTCATGTCGGAATGGCCGCCGATGTACTTGCTGGCCGAAAGCATCACCTTTTACTTTTCTCTCCATGCATAGAGAGGTGCGTTCCGCAGAGTGAACTCTGCAACTTCAGCAGACTGAATCCTAGAGGGTGTCGGGCTTTCAACTTCGTGATCTATGGACTCCAGTAAACGAAAGGTCCGCCCTCGGCTGCTAGTTGTTCCAGAGTCAACTCATGTTGATAGAACGAAGGGGCAATGAGCTATCCAGGGCATTCTAGCGAGAGCCCATCCAGGACATGCAAGCAACGGAATCTGCAATCCCAGTGGCCAAGTCCACGCCCAGCTCGAGCGGCTGCTGATTCCAGGCCGTAGCAAAGGTGTTGTCCTTGGCAAATTCCGCCATGAGGCTACGAAAGTTCACGGCCGACCCTGAAGCCTTGCTCGCGTTTTCGTTTCTGCTTCTGCCGCTGCCACTACCGTTGCTTCTTCCCACTGCTATACCCCAGGACAGAAGCACAAGAACACATGGATTATGTCAGCATGATGTGTAACAAGGCTGTAACAAAAAACTCTGGGAGGTAAGCCCGGATTGCTTGTGCTACCCGGACGCAACGACTAGCAGCTGCGAGGAACTAGCAATGACTCTGCGACGGGGAAGCCTTGTGGTGAGCGTCCTCCCGAAACTTGCTTGTAGGACGGATGGCCGCCTGTACTGTTCCGAAACACCGATGGATTGAGAATGTGGAGATTGAAACCCGTCGAATGGTAACCAACAGATTGCACTTTCCTCAATCTCATGAGCCCAAGCAGGACTCTTGCAACAGTCCCAGGCACTGCGCAAATCAGAGGAGGTGGGGTGCCGTCCTCGGCAGCAACAGACCGGAAAAGGGATTCGAACACGAGTCCTTAGGATACTTACATTGGTCATTACTTCTTACATTCCTGCTACCGGAAACATGATTGCTGTTGCGATTAACTAACTAAATCTCGGGGCTTCCGTTCCTGTAAGTTATTCGCCAATTACAACATTTCCCGCCTCAGAGCTTAAGCCCCCGAATATTTGCCGCATCTGACATTAGATCATCTTAGCTTTCTACTATATTCTAATCCGTTCTACTATGTTACAACCTAACAAAACTATATTTTACCGCACGAAAATACCTAGTTACCATGCTTTGTCATATTCTATTCGTTGCTAGATGTTTCTCATGTTGGTATTGCCAGAAGGACCGAATCTCTGACGAGTGTCTTTGGCGGCCTTGTCCTCGGATTTCACGCAGAGCGTGGGAGACCAAGAACGTTCAAGAACTCTCTCTCTCTCTCTCTCTCTCTCTCTCTCTCTCTCTCTCTCTCTACATATCTACATATGTGTGTATATATGCATGTTCGTGGTTATATTTGCAGTTCTATTTATGATTCCTTATTTAACTGTTTAATAATGTTTAATATATTGATGATTATTACTAACTTTTCCTGCTTAGTCGCAAGAACTCTATGCTTCAGGTTTACGGTTGGCTTTAGGGGGGCGGGGCCTGGGAAACCTGCAGGGTAAGCTTGTGTGGTGCTTTTTGTGGAGGAGCTTACCGAGCTAGTCTTGGCCGCCAAGACTCCACAGCTGTGACAAAGCAACCGCAAGGTTATACCACAAAATGGAAACTGAGGGAAGGGAAGAAAATAGTAAATCGTACATACTACTTGCTGAGGCTCTTATATTAGCATGGCAGGGACGGATGAGGCCGGGGGGCCTTCACGGCTTCGACCAGCTTGGGGATATCCACCAGCCTGAGTCTGCAATGAAAGCCCCGCGTTAGGATCATTGCAGGTACAAGAACCAAAATTCCAAAAGCCTGATCACAGAGCAGATGGGCCGTTGGCCCGAATGCAGAAGTCGTAGCCAAGGCTTATCAATCTGCGCATCACTCGGACAAGGTATCTACACCCCGCGGATCCAACACTCTGGTTCTGGAAACTTTCTCAAAGCCCAGTCAGCTCAAGCTCGAGCTGCACAATCTGCACCGGGCAATGCCATCCCAAATTTGGGACCAAGCAAACTTTTTTTTTAGCCCTGAAACCCAGGACCCCGAACGCCTAAAGCGACTCGACCAGCACCCTCCTGTTGCCAAGACGCTTGAGCAGCGGATTCGTGGGGCTTTCAATCTGAGCAGTTGTTCTTGTAAGAGTACTGTGAGGGGTAGCAGAAAAATTACAACGGCACTGTGATGAGGGATGCGTTTGGGGTGCTACTTTCGCAAGGTACCAGCATACTCATGCTACAGGGGTTACTACAGGTTGCTTTCAGGGGAAGACAAGGGAGAGGCCTGAAGGTTGAGGAGCTTCCGGGTCTGTATCAGAACTTGATTGCTAAACCCTCTCATGGGGTTAGGGTTTAGGGTGACGGCATTTAGGATTTGTGATGTAGGTTTGCCGGGGTCTTCACAGGGATCAGCTTGTCGGGGATTTAAACCAAGGGCTGTCATCAGGTTGTTCCAGAGGCGGCACTGGACGATGCTGCGGTTGGGAGAGGATCAACATTCTGGATGCAAGCAGCTTCTGCACGGCCCTGGGTGAAGCAGTCGCAAACTGGCGCCGCTCGGATTAGTAATGGCTCTAGTAACTGGATTATGTTTTGGCACTAGTGCCTGGCACACCCAACCAAGTATCCATCATGATTGACTGTGACTCCTCGTCCGCGAGCAAGCAGCCCAGATCATGCCTGTCTCTTTGCGCATCTGCTGCCGCACGTCCTTTCATGCATGGCTGGACTCTTCCGGTCCAGCTGAAACATGCTAGCACAAGGGTGCAGCAACAGCGCCAGCATGCATGGGGCCCGTTTCATCTAAATCCCGACCATCTCCACATCACTATGTCTGTCACTCTAAGACATGCCGGGAGTCCTCCAGGTCATTGAGATCCAGATACGTAAACTGCAAATTCCTCGCCCGTCGAACTGCAGTGCCACTCGATAGATTTCCATGGTTTTTACTGCCCATGCGCAGTGGTTACGTACTACCTTTGCTTGCACTGCCACGTATGCGAAGGGACTGTCAAACATGCGACGGCTGAACTGCAGGGGCCCAAAACTTTCGCCTTGTCACATCATGGCATATAGACATTCTGGAGCTCTGGAAGAAGGACGGATTCAAAGATGTGTGGTACTTGTCACCCAAGCTTCATCGTCCGGCTTCGCACCGTTTCGAACCTGGAGTCTGGGCTTTCTTTGGGAGTTTGGGGCTGGATCTTCATGGCTGAACTCCGGTGGCACTGCCTCACAGCCCGGCTTCGACTGAGCTCCCAGCAGACGAAAAGTGCCGCCGTAGACGCCCCTGACCAGAAAGGTTGCGATGTGAGAGGGGCCGCCCGTCCCGTGGTCAGGATCCATTTAAGTTAATCAGAATGTGTGTGAAGGTAGAGTTGGGAGTTTCCGAAAATTAGGGGTCCCTTATTCTGGGGTTCATATAATAAGGATCCTACTATTTAGGGTGCTACATTCGGGTCCCCGATTCTCGGAAACGCGCAGTTAGAGGCTCTTTGGGGTTTAGGAACCGCGGCCTCATGACCAGGACGTGAGCTCCAGGCTCCAGGAGCTCCAGAGCCAGGGCCGTGGCCGCCATGCCTTCAGAGCCGGGGCCGGGGCCGAAGCCCGGGAGGGCTCTAAGCAGGGCGGGGGGGGGGGGGAAAGGGGGGGTTAGATGGGCCTGAATAATTCCGTAAAAGCAGGAGTTTAGGGTTTAGGGGTTGTGGCCGCGTGATTCGATTCACCAATCCGGAAACACCAAGCGAAACTCGTTGCTAAAGTTGCCCATCACGTCCGCAAGCGATCTGACAATGCGAACCCAAATCAAATCCCAACGAAGCCGCCTGAAGCCGTGGCTGTGGCCCAGGTACCGGCCTCCCGGCATTGGCATGTAAGCTCTTTGGGAAGTTACTTTGGGGCTTTAGGGCGTGAGGGCATGCGGGGTGTTCCAAGTTCGGCTCGGAACTTTGGGATGCAGTCTCAGCGCGATCTACGTGCTTCATGTTGGCCTTCAGGACATACTGTGCCAAAAGGCCTACAGTATACCTCATCGCATGTCTACTAGGACCAAAGAACTTCATGTTGTTGACCCAAAACCCCAAAACCTTACCGTCGCAGACCCAAAGCCCGAACGACTCAAACCCGAAATCCAAACAACCTACTACACGCTTGAAACAAAAACAGAAACCTGGGTCAAAACCGCATTCTCTCCACGGAATAGCCAGCCTGGCAAAGGAGGGACCTGCTCCTACACCCGAACCGTAAACCCTGCAACAAACTTAAAGCACGAACCTTTCAACCCCAAACCTTCAAAAACCCAATCTCCCCTAATCCTTCAGGGCCTCCAGGTCCGCCAGCGCGGACTCATACGCACTCCTTGACAATTACAATAACAACAAACACAGCAAGAACAAAATTAGTAAACAATGACAATTATAATGAAGATAAACATGTGAAATTTTTGATAATAATGGGAATAGTACTAATAACAGTGATCTGAATGAACACATAAATAGTATGTGGACATATATAGAGAACATGCAGTCATATTGGTAGTATGTGAACCTTGCAGGGCAGCCGAAGCAGGTCGAACTTATCGAGCGAACACGAAGGAGGTTGAGCGGGGTCCAGCACAAAGCAAGCTTTGGAGCAGACTCGAACGCTGCCGAAGTGTAGAGCCAAGAAACTCTGAGCCGGAAACAGTCCTAAATGTCATCACTGATGCTTTCCAGCAAGGCGTTTCTGCCATGCTCTAGCCCTCGCCAGCCCTATCGCTTACAACTGCCTACCCTCACGGTCCTTGTCGGATTGCCGCAGCGAGAGTACGCAAACTTCCCCTCCTCTGGAAGGTTCTTACTTCAGTAGAAGGCTCTGGACCAATGCGGGGAGTTGCTTCTCTTGCTCGCTGATGCTCCGTCTACTACACTACTCTATCTTCCAGTTTGAAGCTTTTTGTGGCGCAAAGCTGGTCGGCTCTGCATTGAAACCAGCACATCGCTACCGCGTGTCATGGTTGTCCTCTACAACTTGGGAGGGTCCCCTGCAAAGTTGCCGACTCTCCCAAAGCCACGATGCGCATCATCCCTAAACCCTAAGTCTTCCAACAGGGATACAGGAATGCCAACGCCTCCGGACGACTAGCCATCATACGAGAAGCAAACGTATGATTGATCGGAAAACGTATACTCATGATGACGGCAGTCACCATGAGCTTCCCATCAAGCCCGTCATAATGCTCTTGCCTGACCCAGGTTGGGCTGCACGAAGCTCGTAGCAGTGGTGATCGGCGGGATCACGGCCCCATGGCCTCTGTTTGGCTGGGCTGCAGGGCTTTCATGGCTTCTGCTCAGCAGAAGCACCTCAAACCTCAGCCCTGGGATGAAACGTCTGTGAGCTTCGGCCCAAAAGGAGTTCTTTTTTGGAGCACAGGAATTTGGGAAGCCCTGTTGAAAGCCAGAAACATCATTTCGACGGAACCGGTAGCTCAACAGTGAATGCGCATGCAGATGCATGTGCATCTACTTGTAGAGAGCTGAGAGGGCGAGAGATCGACAGAGAGAGAGAGAGAGGCCGAGGCAGAGACAACAAGAGAGAGCGAGCAGGGAGGACAGAGACCAGAAGGATAGATGAAAGAAAGCAATTATGACACCTACGCACGTAAAATGTGCTTGGCTTTTAGTACGATGTGTAGCAGCACTATGAACCAGTGTACAGGTGGCCCGAGTGCCAAGGAACCTGGATCATGCTGGTCCCCGGCGTGCACCGCCAGGGTGTCGAAGCGAGCGCCCGTCCGCGCCTCATCGGGGTGCAGACTCTTGGAGGCTTGACCGGCTTTCGCCGACGGTGACACCGTGAACTATGTTGCATACCTGCGTGCCCTAAGACCTTAAGACCTGTGCACCTCAGGCAACGCGCCAATGCTGAAGAGGGGTTCCGATACATACAAATTCGTGCCCGTGCATGCATGCATTTTCGTATGTCCAATGACCTCCGTCTGTACAAGGAAATTCGGCGTCCAAGAGTGGCATATCTCCCCATATACATGCACCTACCCACCCGTCTACATGTACAAGTACACGCAGATGCATGCAGGTGGGCGTGTTCATGCGCAGTCATACAAGCACATGAGTCTAGACGCAGGCATGCATGCATGCTGCATGCGGACATGCATATACATACATCGAAGACAATGTATGCACACACAGGATGAACGCATGCACATGTGTACATCTGCATATAATGCACATACATATTTATAACGGTATATAGATTCGACAGTACGACCACACCTATGTTCATGTGCCTGTATGAAAGTTAACATACTACCACAACCGACGGTATGCACAGCAGACCTGCGAGCTCAAGTACGAGCATAACATCGTTGCAGAAGTCTGTGCACAACACATGCATGTTCACACACACATATATGCCACATACACGCAAAGTTGCACGCAAACGCAGACGCGTACGGGCACATACACGATCATAATATAGGCACAAGGGTGCTCGACATATATATATATATATATATATATATATGAACATATATACATATATATATATATGTATTTATATACATATGCCGTTTGCTTGCATAGCTATGTGTATAGCGAGAGACAGAGAGAGGGAGAGAGGGAGATAGTGAGAGAGAGAGAGACGAGACAAACATCTAAGCACAAGTATTGGTATTGTAGATATACGGGCATAGGTGTAGGTACTGTAGGTAGAAAGATGGGCAGATAGATAGAAAGACAGGTGGACCGATCGACAGATAGACGGACAGATATACAGGCAAACAGACATCCAGATGCTCAGACAAATAGAGGCAGGGAATAAACCAGCGAAGGCTGAGCGTCTCAAGGGATTCGGTGGCGATGTTTCACCGCGCTTGGTTTCGGCATCAAGCCTGGTAAGAACAAGGGGCCTGTTCAGAACAACGACAGGTAAAGTGTGGTAACCACAACAGCCCAGCCATCAGCCCTTCTGCACGGGTGGCATTCCACGTCCCCGAACCCTGCGATCCTGAACACATGGAGTCCGAGACGCCCTAAAGGAAGTCGCCACATGTCGATGCGCTTCCTTTGCTTCCCGACCGGCAGAAGACTTGAAGAGAAGCCAACAATCCCTGCTTCGACCACAGACCCGCTGGGCGTGCCAAATTCACGGAACAAGTGTAGAGGCTTTGGGCTTGCAGCTCTGTGAAAATTTGAAGGCTCTATATGGAGTTCAGCCCCGAGAAGGCCAGAACCCAAGCCGTCAACACCAGTACTAAACCTGCCTTGAGGACCTCATCGTGGATTGATTCCCAGTCGCAGGGTAAGCAACAAGATGCCTTATGTATAATCGTGAAGTTGCATGCTTCTCAGATTTAACGAAGGCACCTGTGAATCTTGAGGCTATGTCCCGAGTACCCACTAACTTGGTCGCTAGAACCCTTAGCATCATCATTACCGTCATCGTCAAGATAGTGACCGAAAAGTTCACCCCTTCTGGTTCTGCAGCACTCCAGCATCATCTTACACGCAATATTGCCACTCACCAAAGACTGAGGTGACCCAGTGAATCTGCTACAAGTACTTCAAGCTAGTAGCATTAAGACTACAGCAGCAGGGTCCGCTCCACGAACACACCACCACCAACATCACCACCGCCGCCACTGACATGATGTTGCTGCTCTTGCTTCTCATGAACCCCTCTTCTGTCTTCTGAGTTGTATCCTGATGTCTTTCTGCCAGGGTGCCCTGAAGAACAGTTAGCCCTAGCGACTGCCGGCCCCCCTACCCGCACCTAAGCCGTTACGTTGATCCCGTTGATCCCGGTCTGAGGTTCCCAAAGCAGCCTTCTTTGCCGCACTCCCATCCGACGCAGCCGGCGGCGCCATGCGGACAGGGAAAAGCAAAACACCAATAGCTTCCGGGAACTTCGAAGAACGCGGGCCTAGGCTTCTTAAGCTTTCTGTCCAAGGCTACGGGTGTGGGGGTTTTGGATGGCATTCAAGATGGTAATTAGAAACCTAGATTCCAGCTTAGTGCAACCGTGGTCTGTCAGGAAGGTGCTGACACCATCCCCAGGATCTGGATCCAAAGTGTGTGTCCCTTCTCCAATTGTCATGCGATCAGCCGAGATGAGGGCTACTTTAGAAACCCGTAGCGACAGTGACAGTTAATGGTCTTACTGGTCTCATCTAGTGAGCGCATCAAGCTCGAAGTCTGGCTCAAGATCCAACCTGTTGATCCAGAGGAGTCTTCATGGCATGCGACAGAGGGGAGAGTGAGGAATCTTGAGGAGACTGCGGCTAGCATAAGACCAGTAATCTGATGCATATTCACAACGACAGAACGGCAATCCTGCTCGGAATCCCTTGAGACCGGGGCCAGACCAGGCGAAATCAGCAGGCTCTCCTCCACGATCTTGTTGCTGGCGTTCAAGACCCAAGCCTCTGGCAAGAACGGAGCAGTCAGGATAAGTTTGGGCGACCGCGTGCTTTCCAAATCCAAACATTGCATCGACGACAACGCGGCCACCCAGACTTTCCGCTCTTCGTGAGGCCCCCGCGGTCTCCTCGCGGGGCTCGACCTCGAGCATCCGTCAGCAGACACGGAGAAAGCTCGTGATGCTCACGGCTGGTGAAGCATGTGCGCTCTCGTGCCTGCCCTCGGGGTGAAGGTTTGACTCGCGCTCTACAGCATTGTGCACATACGGGGCAAAGAAGCATAGAGTGCAAACGGTCAAAACAGTGTCTTAGCCTGGTCTAGTCCTGGGTACTCACGGCCGGGCACCTGTGAACGCACTGTGTGAAAAGTACTCTTGGGTGCAGACATCATTAAAGCTGGCTGCAGTAATGACAATCCCTCACTTCTTTCAACGACTGTCATCGCGGGAATGAAGTAAACGGTAATAGCAGCGTTGATAGCACATTAGTATTTTTGCCACCGTCGACATGTCTGTCGACAAAGACTTCTCCTCCGACATCCAAAGCAATCATTGCACCTGTTCGCATTGCGAAGCAGTTCTAAGACTGCGAAGAGCTGAGGAGCTCTACGCTTCGGTGCAGGCGAGTGTCCGGACCGATGTACATGTCCGGCCGGTGTAGAACATGCTCTCGCTGGGACAGGAGCTGATACCTTCAGCGGCGCGGTTCTGTGGCGGGCAGTCGTTATATCTTGAAGTTTATGGCCTGGCGGCATGCCACTGTCGGTGTCCCTTCTTCAGAGCTGTTCCCAGAGGCCATGAGGCTCCTACTCAGAACCAGGACCAAGAATTCTCACCTGACGGTAGCATGCAGCTTCGACCTCGTACCTGCCCCTCACCCCCTCCACAAATGCACTCACCATCACGACGACGATCACCAAAACGGACCGTGAAAGCAACAGCCCCAACTGCAGCCGGACCGCTTGTCGGCGCGAGAGTTAGCGATGTCCTGGATCTCCACCTTAACAGAACTCAGGCGGATGCAGAGCTCAAACTTTGGGTTCAAGTCCGAGGCGTTCATGCCACAAGCAGTCTGACTGGGGGCAAGGCTGACTCCAGCGTCGATCTAAGATCCTGTCCAGCTTGCTGAGAAGTTGGGCTTTGGTGGTGAAAAACGCCCACCACACGTGTTGGCAGATCCGACCATTTGTCGAACGAGCTGCTCTTTAGCTTTTGGGAGTGATGCTTTGAGTTCCAAGCCCTCTTCGATCAGAGGAAACCGTAAGGGCCGGAACATCCGCACGATCAACGTGCCCATGATTCCCGCGATTGCGGGCTCGTGTGTTTTCTACGACCGTCTCTGCACGAGAAATGAAGCGAAACCACTCCTCACTCAATTTGCGCTTCCTGAAAGAACCGTACTGACCATGAAACATCATTTCAAAAGCCCTCCGCGTGGCCTGCTGCCAGCACGCAGTGTGCGAGCAACGACCACGATCGCTTCGTCGGGGGCCCTGGGCATCCATAGAAATCCATTCCAACTTCAAGAAACAGGCTAATATAGAGGCCTTAATAATTAGAATAGGGCTTTGGGGCCCATTATACTATGATTGTAATGAGGAATCCCCAAAATGGTATTGGTAATTATATAGGCCCCTATATTAACCTCAGGCAGAAGCTAAATTCGGTGCAGGACTCGGGGGGGTTCGGATTTGTTAGTGTGCAAGAAACAGATGGGGGCGAGTTAGGAAGTGGACGCAACTCCAAACCAGCTGCTCCGAAACAAGCACAAAGCACCTCCTAAATCCTTCAGTGAAGAAATAATCCCAATCACGAACCCGAGTCCTAACCACTTCTCAAATCCTGTCCAAACAATACCTGCTCTCAACCAGTCTACCAATGCCCGAGACACAACCTTAAGCAAGGCGATGTTGCTTCGGCAAAACCTTTCTTATTGCACAGACCAATAGATTAAGAAGGATGGCTCAACATTGGCATTGGTACTTTCTGCCACCGGTGTTGTTGAATGATCTTTCACTTATCGTAAGGGACGGAACACAGTCTTGAAAGCAGGCTCGACCAGTGATCATGGAACAAAAGGCCGCGCTGACTCTGGTGTAGCAAAGAAATCAGAGCACATATGGGCAAGAAAAGAAAAAGCACTAAATCAACCGACAATGGACAATGCAAAACATATGTGCGCACACTCACACCCGTAGTCCTTCTAGGCGGAAACACCTTAACATGATCGCCTTCGAACACTAGACATGGCCTAATGTTGCTTCTCATTCGTGCTTGGGAAGCTCTCGAGTTGCACCCCGACAGCCCGCTCTTCGAGCATCTCCAACGAGACTCCCAAGACGACCAGTCCCCGAAAAAGGATGGACATCCTACTGATGACCACGGCAACCCTGTGGTCTGATCCGAGACTACCGAGGCGCAGGCCAAGAGCTTTCCCTGGAAGGCCTGCGGAGAACTAACTATATTCAATCATAACCGGATTATGTTATAGCTATAACTGTACCATGCCGCAATGCCCATGTACAAACACTCAAACTGCACACGAAGACTCAAACAGACAACACAACACAAAACAAAACACAACGGGGGGGGGGAAAAATACTACAGCTACGCTTCTCATTGTACCCATGCTTGTTAGGAACCATGATGCCAAAAGTCCTGTCACATCAACTCCATACATATGGACAAACAGGCAAACGAGCCTGCGAGGCTCCACCACACTGTACTGGGGCTAGAGTTGCAGACAAACGTCTAGAGTCCAAGCAGCACGAACAATGCTGAGAACATCGAGGTTCTGCAAACAACACTGCCAACATCGATACTGATAGCGCCAGCATCATCCAACCCACCAGCAATGAAGTAAACCTTTGCTGACGGCAATGCCAATGGGGATGTCGTATGAATCAAAAATGTAACGCAGAGACAACGACTGCAACTACAAGAAACGTTAGAAACAACTGCGGAGCAGTGCTACACTAATTTCAACAATGTTGGCACATCTCATCGGTTCATGGCCGATGAGACTACTCATGTACCGCTCGTCTTTCGCAACTCACCATCATCATCATGGTCACCATGACCATCATCAACATCCTCAACCCGGCGCCATCACTATCATCATCATCGTCATCAGATTTCTACGGGCCACAATCTTCGAGCAGGGCTTGCTCTCACACGCTTGTCCTGCGCTCGACATGCACGGGGCTTGCAATACGTGGATGTGCGCAGTGCGCTAAATCAGCTTCAAAATGGCCAAAAAGGCAGCTTTCAACTCGACACTATCGCCAGCACTGGAAGTAGCACTGGGGCATCCCGCACACAACATGCTTTTGGCACCTGCACTCTGCAAGCATCCTGAAGTCAAGCCTGCAGGAAGGAGAGGCCGACACCACGAAGGAGCAGTCCTGGCTCTGGCTAAAGAGGAAAGAATGGGCTCTGCAAACGGCAGAAGGCCGTAACTGCGCCTTAAGAATCTTCAGATCTCGGTCTGCACAGGTAAGCCGTAAAGCCGACAGAACCCCGAAGCGCCTGCCTGCAACCACAATCACGAGCGGCCCAAAGCATCGTCCGCGCGGGCGTGGCATGTTTTTGAAAAGCTGTTGCGAAGTTGGTGCGGCTTGGGGCATGGTGGCGTTGGGCATTTCTCCGGCCAGTTAACAGGCTCGAATTCACATGGTTTTGCAATTCAGGGTGGTTTCAGACTTGCGAGACAAGGATGCAACCTTTTCGGACTCTGAGTTTTGGTCTCGTCTCTTTGAGCTGTGCGAGCTTTGGAGATCCGAACGACGGCGGCAAAGGAGCCATGGTATCATGGGATCGGACGGCGAAGATCGGTGCGGCTGTTGTACCGCATCCTCACTCCCAAACCGTACATGACAGGACTCCGGCTCGGCCTGGGAGACCGCCGATGGTACTGGTCTGAAATACGTTCAGGGCTCGCAACTTTGTTGAAGTTCTGTGAATGCATGTGATTTGCAAGGTTCTCGTACGAGTGGATCATTTTACGAGGCCTTGGATTGATAGAACATTGCGCACGCAATTTGCCTTCTAGCGCTGGCTTACAACTGTTGCTTTTCTCGTGAATATTATGTGCCTATGATAAGCAAAGCGTCTTAGCTTGTGGCCTGAAGCTGCTTCGTGAGCTGATCAGGAAAATGACGTTCACAAGCTGATGCCTGCGACTGGAAGCCAGAGTTCAGGTGGAATGCAGCTCGACACTTTTTCTGCTCCAACAAGCATGTACAGGCAACTGCCACCTGCCCTCTCGGCCTGTGGCATGGCCTTTCGTCAAAGGTACACTGTTCTTCGAATAACTGTCATTTGCGTCGATCCCGAACTGAGAATGCAGGTTTGAGGCCTCGAGGTATAAGATGACCGTGTGGTGTGGCTGAGAGATCGGAAGTTAACCCTGTTGGGCACCGCTGCAAGTCGACAGGCCCACCTTTCGACAAGAAGTGGAGACATTGACTCTTGCAGCACAAACTCGCCAGTGACCCTAAAACACCAAAGACGATCTTGAAATCTAAGGTACACCCGCATAGGGAAAGTCTTCGACGAACCCCCGGTTTGCGGATGCTACACAGGCCCGGAAAGGAGACGTCCCACACGATTTGTAAGGTCGTGGAGTCTTTTCCAATACAGGGCATGACTGATCCTTGCCTGGAAACCAACAAAAGTTGCAAGTCGTCGCAGGCAGATCCTGCATCCCGCATTTGGACCGACGAGGTCAAGTAAAAGGGAGAGTGGTTGCTGTCACACAGGGTGCCGAACAAACCGTAAATTCACGATCTCCGAGAGAAATGCTTGGCTTGGTAGAACTTTCTGTGGGACTGGTGTTCACATTTGTCTATCCTCAATCCGCAGTGGGTTCTCCTGTCCCGGCCGGGCTCATTATTACTGAACGCAGCTCAGACTACCATCTCGATCGCGTCGTTCTGCATGCCTCAGCCAAGGCTCCCGATATTATTGGGAATCCCTCCCTGTACCATAACCCCTGAACACATCCCAGTTCAAGGGGCGCATTGAGAGCAGCTGGAAGAGTTTTAAAGCATGTAGCTACAAGCCGGCCGAAAGGCCCCACCTGTGCCCCCTAGAAGTTGTACATGGAAACGCTATTATTGCCCACACAAACCTCAAACCTCTAAAATCCTAGCTCCTAAACCCCTGAAGCCCAAACCCCCAATCCCCTTAACAAAGGCCCAGAATCCGAACCTGGACTGGTCCAGAACGGAATCAGATCAGATCATGCTGCGCTGCGGCGAAGAAGAAACAGGGTTTAGGGTTTATGGCCTAGGGATTCACTCTGGGTGTGCGAACCTGAGCAGGAGTAGGAGCAGGTGATGGTAATGATGGTGCCGGGACTGGTGCTGATGCTGAGGCTGCTGCTGATGATGATGATGCTGCTGATGATGGTAATGCTGGCGATGCTGGTGGTGACGATCATGATGATGGTAATAATGGTGATGATGATAGTGACGATGATGATGGTGACGAGGATGATGCAGAGGCTGAGGCTGAGGCTGATGACGACGGGGGTGAGCGAGTGAGTGAGTGAGCGAGTGAACGAAACAACTGTTCATGAATGAATGCGTGACTGACGGGCTGACCAAATGAACCACGAACGAACGAACGAAGGAATGCATGAATAAATGAATGTATGGGTGACGGAGTGAATGAATGAATGAATGAATATGTGAGTAATGAATGAATGCACGAATGAATGAACGAATGAATGAATGAACGAATGAATTCATGCCTTCATGACTGATTGAAGGAATGAGCTACTTAACTAACGGACTGAGCTGACCAACCACCGATGAAGTATTGAATTATTGAATGGACAATGAACAAATGAATGAGTGAGGGGTGGGTGAGCGGGTGAGCGGGTGAGCGGGTGAGTGGGTGAGTGGGTGAGTGGGTGAGTGGGTGAGTGGGTGAGTGGGTGAATGAAGGAACAAACAAATGCATCAATGAGCGAATGTGCTGATGATGCTGCTGTTGCTGTTGCTGATGATGATGATGATGATGACGGGAACGATGACTGGTATGCCGCGTCTGACCGGTAGTATGTATTTGATGATGATGATGACGATGATGATGATGATGAGCTTCATCCTCATTAGCGCCAGCCATCTCATGGTACCAAAAACCCTCAGTGCGCGTACCACGCTGACAAAGATGCTCTCGGCATATGCACAAGGTGTCAACTTCGATTGGGTCGCAGTGTGTAGCACTTAAACCTGAAGCCTGACTTAAACAAAGCACCGACTGAGGAATGGGCTTGGCTTCATGCGAGGATAGACCGTGGTCCTGGCTGTGGATAGGGCTTCCGGACTTTTAGGGGCCCTAAATCCAAAACGCACAGATCTCACCCCACAAGGGCCCACAAGTATCACATAGTATCGCACGTATATGACATGCTACGATAGAACAAACACATGGATGAGAAAGGCCAGCGGTCGTGCTTCGCACTTTTCCGCCATGGGAGATGGCGGTGATCTCGATCTTCTCGAGGGAGATGACCATGTCCTTCCACTCAGCTCGCGAGTGGCTGGGCCCCAAGTCCAGCGGTCTCTTCACTGGAGGCCCGGAGGCTGTAACACAATGCAAGGAAGCCCCGAAAAGCATACGAGTCCATGAAGCCATAGGCATCGTCATTGCCTTCGGTATTCCTCCAAGCAGCACACCGTTCGAGATGTCTTGGGATGTCATGGCACATCTCGCGCGTAAGCTGTTTCTGGGCACCATGCGGCATAGGTTCTGCCGTCACACCACCACCGCCACCAGTGATCACCCAGGCCGTGTCCTCCGGTGCTGAGTTTACTGCTACTGCGGGAAGCTTGCATCGACAATCCCCTCTTGGTCTCCAAACACAGGCCTGTGACCTCGACCACTGCGTGAGAACATGCTGAAAAGGATGCACGCGGCCAGGCTTCGGAAGCAAGCAGTTTGTAGAAGCCCCTGCAGAATCAAACCAGCGATTACCGAACAATGAAGTGCATCAACATCAAACCTTGGCAGACGTAGCCTTATAAACTCAAAGCTGTCGTCTCCTCCAGATCAGCACCTCCGTGTTCCGATTTGTAGAAAACCTTCCGGGAAATCCGGGTCTGGATGATTCGGGCTTAAGGCCTTCAGGGTTGAGAGAGTTTGGTCGGTGTGAAGCCTTCCCAGCAGTCAGCCACTTGGAGCCCAAACCCTAAACCCTATACCTGAACCTTTACACCCTCAACCTACGCTCTCAACCCTGAACCGTAAACCCGAAACCCTGAACCCTAAACCCTAAAGCCCTAAACCCCGAAATCCCTAAACCCACATCCTCTTGGAGCCAGGTCTTGGAGCTAGGGGAATTCTTGGCGGCACGCAAGCTTGGAATGCAGACAGATCGATCAAACAGGGAAGCTGCAAAGTAGGCCGGAGCTCAGGGTTTAGGGATTTAGGTTAGATACTACCTATGATTTTGACCTTTATGCTTAGATGATTTTGGCAGGGGTCGCTGACATCGCGGGAAAGAGCACAGAGAGAGAGAGAGAGACCACATTTCTGCTCCTTTTTGCCCATGCTGGGCTGACCTGTCGGTGAGTCCTACCAAGAAATCAGGGAGTCCTCACAAGCCCTAATCGCGCGAATCATCCAAAACGACAAGCTTGTATGATTTTGCAACCATCGTCCTTTGGATCGATGCCAAGCAATGATGGAGCTTGAATTCAACTCCCTTTCGCCCCGCTGGCAGGTCGCGTGCCTTTCCGGCTCGCGAGTTTCTACCGGCGCGAGGCGGCTGTGAAGAGAAGCAGCATCATGGGCTCCAGCATAATTTCAGGTCCAACCCTCGAGGCTTCGGCTAATACAGGGGCTTTGATAATTAGAATGGGGTTTTGGGGCATATTCATTTTTGGGGAACCCCCAGAATAGTATTGGTGGGGGAGGAAGCGCTTTCAAGATGCAAGCCTGGAGGATCGACCCAGTGCCTGTGCATCCGCTAGTGGCCTGTGCGCGGAACACTCTGGCATACATCCCGAGGGATAGTGTTACACGCCGAGGTGTTTAAACCTGTCAAGACATTGGATGCGTGATCTCTGATGCCGCAGCCTCTCCCCACGGTATTGGCTGATAATCATAGTTTAGAACACACAGCATAATGTCAAACTGCAGCACTGTGAACCGTGTATTGGCTGTTGAACGACCGCAGGCTTTAGAAGGAGCTGAGTTGAAGCATCCGTTGCGGGTGCTCCTAGACTGCTCCTAGTTCCCACGGCACTTTCTGGCCGAGATGATGTGTGTTTCTGACTATCTGGTGAAATTTTAGCATACTTGATGCAGAGGAGGTCTGTCTGCTGTTCGGCGATCCGCGTCTTGACAGGGAGGCCTCTCGGTGGTGCCTGGGTACCGAGTAGACGTGCTTGAGGAGATGCACGGTCCAGCTCATCCTTGTGCTAGCTTCGACCAAAGATTTTCCAGCAATCTTGCTTGAACCCGGACACTCAAGAGGGCGGATGCCAGAAGGAACCAAGAATCCTTCATGGGCATCAGTATATATCATTTTCTGCATGCACACCTGAGAAAAAGCGAGAAAGAGAGAGCGCGAGCATGATGTACCTGCAATACCGATTTCGTATCCAGACATACGCACAAGAACAAGCGTATCCTGAGGTACGATGAACGACAGTTAGGCTAGGGAGACCGCTACCACTCCCTGGCCTCAAAGCCCTCTCAGGAATGGGTTTGAGAACGGAGGCTGTACAAATCATACGTGCGAGAATCCCCGCATCTGCAAGCTTCTTCTAAAGTTCATGGGCGAGGGATTTAGGGTTTAGGGCTTACGGCTTAAGGGCTCTTGGCACCTTCCTCAGACGGAGGCGACTGAACTTGTCCATTTTCGCACGTCTACCCGGACCCCTCTGATCCGTTCTCCGCATTCTTCGATCTCTTTGCGCTTCATGCAATGGCTAACCTCGCTGCCACTGAATCTTATAAACCCTAAAACCGTAGGCCCTGAATTACATGCTCCTCCCCCAGACTGGCGAGCTAATGCCTTAAAGCCTCAAAAGGTCCCCCGTCAGTACCGCAGCGAGGAACTTCGGGCAGAAAGCGGCTGAGAGGAGTTTCGCGGGCCTGGGCATTGGGGTTGCGGAGGGGAGTGCCTTTGGGGGGGGCCACGTTAATCCGGATTCGGGCTGATGTGGTAGAGTCCGGTAGAGCTGCAGGGGTTTGGAGGTCTTCTGGTTACTCGGCTCTTCGGTCTTCGCGGAATTGGATCCATGTGCTTGCCAACCATGCCTGGACTCCTGGACACCACAGCCCAGTTAGTGTAACATAGTGAACCATCATCATCGTCACCAACATCACCGTCAGCGTCATCACCATCACTAATTCTCACCGGCAGGACTACATGCTCGCATACTTACAGATGTTCCAACAACTATCTACATAGACACATACATAACGCATGCACAAGCGTTGTTTACATCCATCGGAACCTTGGTTCACCACAGCACTTGAAGCTCGCAGAACTGTCCTACTGAGTTACATTCGCGTCATATAGTCAGGAGAATCTCCGCCCAGCAACTGGAGCTGCGTCGAACTCCAGCAAAAGCAGGCATCTGGAACCTGTGCCGAATGGGAGTTCCTCACACACGTCTGGCTTGGCTGTGACTGTCGCTTCACTCCTCAAGCTCGAAATAAGGTATATCAGTTGACAAAGCCCCGAAAACCGACGGACTTTGGAGCTCTAAACCCAAAGCTCGGAACGGAAAGAGTCAGTGCTGAGCTGAGGAGCTGTTGGGATCGGGTAACCACGGGACGCTCGCTCGTCCTGACGGGACTCCAGAATCAACCGTCTTAGGACATGCGGTTAGAGTCTGTATCGCGCAGGTTGCATGTACAGGCTCACGCACACGGATTGCGACAGGGAAGGGTTTAGGACGAGTTCGGAATCCTTTCAATAACACTGTCTCAATGACTCATGTACTTGGGTTGACGATGTAGTTTGGGCCGCTGTTAAAACAAAGGTCAAGGCCGACCGGTCAAGGCAACAATGTTCTTGATATTTCCAGCTGCTCCTGATGCATCCGCCCAGAAAGAAGCTCCGTTCGTCTGGATTCTGAATCAGAACGCACTTCATCGACTTGTCCTTTCTATCCGGCCCGTCAGCTTCTTCTCCGGCAGATGGTTCGTTTGGGGACACCTGGCCCAAGGGAATGGGTTTGGCATCAGACTAAGTCTCATTGATGATGTGCAGGTGAATTCCAGACACGAGACTGCAATTTCTGCAGCATCAGGCCAGACTTGGGTCCAAGCTATTGTTGCAGGAAAAGCTGGCTTTATTACCAGGAACGGGCAATGCTTGCATCAAGCCTGACCTGCTTATCTGTCATCCAAAGTCATGCAACCAATCATCTTGTTTCAGCAACCGAGCCCACAATCATGGACCCGTAGAGAACCGTGGGCGAACCGACGCTCGTCCAAACGGCAACTTTTCATGCTGCGACACAAGACCCGAAACTCTGACACGAAAGCACCAAACCCATAATCCGCAAAGCCATAAGTGTTCACAAACCCTAACACTTCAACTGCTACAGTTGCAATTGGCCCGAACCTTTGTCGCGCCACCAACGGCTGCACCGGCCGAGCGTCCTTCCAGGCCAGTCAGGAAATCCGGACGTTGTGTGGATATTCGCAATCCCTAAACCCTGTGACTAGACAAATGAAATCCCTAAGCCCCCACACCCTCAACCCTAAACCCGAAAAATCTAAACCCTATGAAACCCTTGAGCCCGTAGGCCCTAAACCCTGCACCCTGAAAACCCTCCCAGGCCCCAAACTAAGCACGAAGGTCCAGGTCCTTCCGGGCCAGCGCCGACAGCCCCGGACTTGGCCGCGGCGTGAGAGACGTGGCTCGGGAGCTCAATGACTCACGGGAGCCGGTTGGGCTCGGCCTTATGCTAAGGGCATGCATGGGGGGGTTCGGAGAGTTCTTGAGGTGGGTCACCCTATATTCCGCGTGCCCAGAGATCTTACTATTCAAAGTTGCGTAATGTTTCTGGTCCTCATATGTGACATTTTACTCCGGTGGCACGAAACGATGGTGCCTTGACAGTTCAAAGCGCGCAATGGGTGCAAAGGCTGGTCTGCACTTCTGAAAGTGAGCAATTCCACAGCCATGGTTTGACAACTGCTTGGTCCCAACTCCGAACGGAGGAGTAGCGATGAAACCCAGCTGCTTCTGTGGTGTTCGCGGCGTGCGAACAGAGACCACCGCAGCGCTCTTGGACACTTGTCGCTGGCTTACAACCTGAGCGGGTTGGGGTTCCACGAGTGTCGTGAAGACCGTGTTGGTGAGCCAAGGCCTCTTGATGCCTTTACATACTACCGACGGCAAGCTGCTTCACTCCTCCGGTGCTGAACCCTACACAAAGCCCGAAATAGAACATCCAAGAGCCCCAAGAGCACGTCTGGCAGGAAGGCTGCCATCATTGTTTTGTCGCATCCACATGATAGCGCCGCGGTATTTCCACTGCGTTTAGGTATGAGCATATGTGATATCGCTTTGCACCGATCTGTCAAACTCCTGTTCCACGAAATTGACAGATGGGAGCTTCCGAAAATAGGGAACCCTAATATAGTACCCTTAATAGTAGGACCCTTATTATCAGGACCCAAAGATAAGGTACCCCGAATTGTCGGAAACTCCCAACTGAATACAAGTACCTTCGTGGGCGTAGCCGGCTTGGCCAGCGCCGCGGCGCCAGGGAAAGCCTCGAGAGCGGAGCTCTGCGATGCGACTTGGCCGGAGCTCAGGGGTTTCAGTTCGGAGCTTGGGTTCGAGCTAGAAGCTCTGGGCCTCAGGGGATGACGACAGTTATGATGATGGTGATGACAACGGAGACGAGAGTGAGGACTACGGCATGGATGCAGATGATAGCTTTGAGAATCATGGTGACAGATGGGGCTGCTGAGCGAGCGGATTCTCGTCACAGCCTGTTGCAGCTGCTGGCGCTTGCTACTATGCAGGCACAGATAGGGTGAAAGTGTGGCATAACAAACTGTCGCATGTGTGGTGAGACCAGAACATGTCCACACCTACTGCAACGCGTCTGCTGGTAGACACAGACACACGCACACACACACACACACACACACACACACACACATGCACGCACGCACGCACGCATGCATGCATACATACTTACATAAAGAGATATTTGTAGATACATATATGTACACACATTGAATGAATGAATGAACGAACGAATGAATCAATGAATGAATGCGTGAATGAGCGAGTGAATGAATATATCTATATATATATATATATATATGTAGGTATGTATTTCTCCCTGAGTCCTGAAATCTCGACTTCAAGAAACCAGTGCGTTGCAGATCTCCACGAAGAGGGCGTCCCGCAAGTGGGACTGCAGCTGCGAGGTCTCCTCCGGAGAAGTTCCCCGCGAGGCAGGAAAAGCTTCTACGGCACCGAGGTGCTGAACAAAAAACTCCTGATAACACCCCAAAAGTACCGTTTCAGGAGCCCTTAGAGTACCCTCGAAGAACCGACCGAGGTGCAGCCAGAACAAGAGCTGGAGTAAAGTTAGCAAAGATCTTGAGCACGTGTCTGATGAGGTTTGGGAGTTTAGGGCTTAAGGTTTCTTAGATAAAGGTTTGGGGCGGCACCCGGGTCTTTGCTCCTTCGGGTCGCCGTCGGCCTCGAGAGGCGTCTGAGGTGCCCTGACCGCCTCTCCAGGGCCGTGATCTCACGAACTTTTGGGGCCACTGCCGGGGGTTCCAAGGATGCCCGAGCCTTTATGACGCTTTTGCAATTCCTCAATGCGGCAGCGTGGCGCCTCTAGATTCCAAAAATGCCTTTGTGACGACAAACCTTCCCAGAGCGTTGAAAAAAGGGTTGTTTCGACTGCCGCATTAAAAACGACTGCAAAGTCTGATCATCTACGGCGATTCACTCTACTGTGAGCGAGACCTCAAAGAAACGCCCAACCCAGACTCGAGGCCCTTGGGCCTTGAGTGCTTGGCACCAGCTGCCCAGGCTGGCGAGCACCTCCTCCCGGCGCCGGGCAAGTTCCTCTGAGCTGGAGCAGGGGAAACAAAGAGCCGGAAGTCAGAAGCAGAAGAAGACTTAAGAAATGATTTTTCTTCATGCGCGACCTAGGCAATACAAGTATGAGGCGTGCTGGAAACTGTCTGGCGATTGCTGTGGTCTGGCGTTTGGATCAAACGCAGCGACTTGCGCAGGTCTGTTGAAATTCGACGAAGCTGCAGCTTGTTAGAGGGATTGCGGCATGAGAAAACATAGCTGCATTGCGGTTCAAGCCAGGATCGTGCAATGCTCGCTGTATTGGCTGAGTTGCTGTTGATGTGTTTTCGACTGCTGATGATACCGTCATCGTTTCATGTTGGTGCTCCCACCTTCACAGTAAGCCAACTCTTAGCGTACGTTCCAGCGCACGTTCCTCCGCCATCGCAGCCTCGACCAATGAACTTTGAGTCCTAAATCCTGCAAAGAGTCCTGATAAGCGGCCTCCGTAGAGACTTCCATCGCCGCGACCTCTCTGAACAGGAGGCAGCGATCAAGTATCCCCCCCTCACCGTCTTCCAAAAAATTCCTGAGAAACAGCAGGAGTAATGCCAGCATTCATCGCAGAACAGCACGCTTCCGTGTTGCATTTTGCTGGCGTTCTCGTATGCACATCAGGACTACAGGAACAAAACTGACAACTTGGGAACCTGACCGCGGCTTACAGAAGTCAATGCTACTGTGCATTCTTCACTGGACAAGAACCTTGAACCCCAACCTCGAACCCTCATTACTGAACTAGGTACATCCTGAACAGCAAACCCTAGGTACTCAACTACAACATACTCCCCGCCTGAGCTTGGTACTCCTTGCACGCAGGCTCTGAGACCATGGCCGGTACTGCTTTAAGCACCGTTGAAAAGTTGAAAAGTCTCGTTCCGAAGAAGAACAGCCTTTCGTTTGACTCCACCTCCCGTACGACACTGCCTGGTTTACGCCAGCGATTCTGAGAAGATAGCAATCGTCTCTGAGTTAACCTAGCAGGTATGATGGCCGAGTTGGAGCCTGAACCCCGTCAGACGCCGTCTACACGAGGCTTCTAGGTGTGCCGACATGTCTGATGCTTCGCGGGCTTGGGCCAAAAGTTTCTGCATCTTAGCTTTCAAAGTCAGGGTTGCGCAAACCCGAAACTTAGAGTTCGCAGACTGCGGCGGGGCCAGAAATAAGAGCGCAACTCCTGCAGCAAGAGCCACCGACGCTTGGGAGCCCATCTACCAACTGGCAAATCGTATCGTGTTGTCGCAAACCTGACTGTACTGAAAAAGCTGCCAGCGACTGCTGACTTTTCGTTGACTAGCTGTGCGGCACGCCGGAAAGGACAGCGACGACGCCGAGGACTTACTGGTGATGGTAGTGATGCTGGTGACGATGATGCTTACAATACTGACGATGTTGATGATGGTAATTGGAGCACCTGACGAGGCTCAGGAGGACGACTCGGACAATGGCCAAAACAATGACGAAGAGATGAGAAAAGGAAGAAAACCCACAAGGAAGCCACTCTAATGGCGGTGGCAGTACGGGTGCTGTTGCTGAGGACGCGAGTGATGGTGATGACTACACCAATGCGGATGATATCACATCGTGATGCTGCTGATGATGTATGGTGACGAGTGCCAGGTTGCCGATGCTGATGAAGATGACGATAAAGGATAACGCAAATCAAAATGGACAGGACGAGGACGAGGACGATGAGACGACTATGAGGAGGAGGAGGAGGAGGAGGAGGAGGAGGAGGAGGAGGAGGGTGATGATGGTGATGGCGATGGCGATGGTGATAGCGATGATGAAGATGAAGATAAACCCCAGGAGTTGCAATTCTTGATAATTACCATGATGGTGGTGACAATGATGGTGAGCATCACCAACCATCTTGGCATTGAGCTTCCTGTTGGTCATTATGGTGGTGCCCAACTGCGACGTCTGTAGCATTACGAGCGTGCTTACCAAAACAGCAGCAGTGCCACTTTCATCATCATCATCATCATCAGCATCATCATCATCATCGCCATCATCATCATCATCATCAGCATCATCATCGTCATCGTCGCCATCATCATCACCATGATTGGCGTCACCACCATCCTCAACAACATCATCGCCATCATCATCATAGTCGTCGTCATACCAACCTCCTCCTCCTCCTCCTCAGAGTCGTCAACATCACCATCATCGTCACCATCACTATCAGTCATGGTTAGTCACATATTTCCTGGGGTCGGTATTTGCAGAAAAGCCCATGGGCACCGTATGCGACCAAGATAACGTGGGGAAACTCTCAGCACGAGAAAGAAATTAACCCACGTTTCGGTCAACGACATGTTTAGTATGACCACAACACTGTACATACATTTGCGAGAGTCTATATATATATATATATACATATATATATATGTGTGTGTATTCTAAATGTGTGTGTTTTATCTATATACATATCATACCTATACATCATATATGTATGTGTTTGTATATAGAAAACGGAACGTACCAAAGCCTTGCAGAATAAGTTCGTCCACAGAAAGTAGAACCACCACACAGCAAGTCCACCTTCTGCTCGTGCTTATGGCCGCTGATGATGAGGTCGATCCCCGCTTCGCGGGAAATGGCCTTCGAAGTCAAACGCGAATCGCGAAGTACCTCGAGCACTGGCGACCTCGAGCTGGACTAAGAACTCCAAGACAAAGGAGGACAAGCCGAGAAAGACTGGTCGGCAGACGTGAACCTCCCAAAACCAGTAGTGCGAAGCCCTGAGCCGTGCCATCGCATGTGCAGTCCTGCCAACTCATGGCATCGGCACCACGGCCCGGCGTGTAGCCTGAGGCTTGGGCTTTTCAGGTGGCAGAAGACAAGCATGCAAATGCCTCCAACTGGATGGTATGCCTAAAGGACACAAAAGCTTGCTCCCATGTATGACAAGAGTACCAGAGCAACCACTGCGAAGTCTGACGATCATCGCACACCTGAACCCTCATAACATCCTGTGGAGCCCTCCTGAAACCTTGAGACGATGTCGGATCCCCTCCGCCGGGCGCCCGCTCTTGGCGGATGGTGCCTGAGCCACGAAACACCAAGGGCGCAGACCACAAAGAAGCACAGGTCCACTATTTTTCCCACCACCATGATTGCCATGGTTGGTACTACACTAGATGGTATCAGTGTTGCCACTGCCATTTCTATCGCTGTTGCTGTCACGATTGCTGTGGCTATTACTAGCAAAGCTAGTGCGAGTGCAAGTAGAAGCATCAAAACTAGTAATACTACGAGCACTGTTCTTATTACCATTGCTCGTACTGGCATTATCGCCAGGCTTCGTTGCTCTTCTTGCAACTCGCATGCTGAACTTCCCGCAAGGCACATGCCTTGCTGTCGCTAAGCTAAGTACCGTCATGGCCAGTCTCAGGGTTCAGGGTTTCGGGCTGAGGCTGGCAATACGTCTGAAGCTTCGCAACACAAACAGTCAACCAGGAGACATCTGTGGCAGCTCGGTCCCCCGCAGCACCACAATCTGCCAGCTTGCATCCGATTTTTTCACAGCATCGGTGAACCACCTTGGCCACGACTTCAACTGCCAAGATTGATGACAGTCTGAGGCGGCACGATCGAACAACAGAGAGTAAGAAAATCATGACAAGACGAAGAAGAAGAGGGTAGCAGGTAGCGGGGGCGTTCGCCGCTGCGAAGGGTGTTTCATCGGCTTTGTCGCTGAGCTTTTATTTCGTCTTTAAAGTTTCTTGTATAGAGTCAGTGACTCTCGAGAGCCTGGTCGTGCGACAGTTCCATCACAAGAGTTCGAGCATTATGCGACTGAAGTTCGGCGAATGCAGGGGTGCAGGGTAGCGTCCAGTTCAGGGACAAGAAGAATCCAGATCAGCAACAAGAAAAGCCAACAATGGGAAACATACAGCGGAATTTGGAGGGTTTCCGCAAAACAAAACACCATCATCGGCAGCATCGGCATCATCCTCGTCAACATCATCATGGTCAGCATCCTCATCATCAACAACACCATGATCAGTCTCATCGTCGTGATCATCATCACACTCATGACAGCAGCACGCTTATCAGAGTCGCGAGCAGAGTCATCCCCAGCATCTTCATTTCGTCGTCATCATCGGCACAGGAGCAAACAGCAAAAAACAACAGACGCGGCTGCCGCAAGAAGGCTCCAAATCTTAACGGTTATGAAGACTGTCCATGCGTCCATCACGCCGCAGGAGGAATGGACGTCATCAACCCATAACATTCCATGTGCACTAACGCAGAAAGAAAAATATGACAATAATGCGCATTGCCATGGATCAGTAGCAGCAGCGGTGGCAGGAGCAGATGCAGTACCATAGCAGCCGTCATGACTACGCCGTAGTACCTCAGAAAATCAGGAGCCCTGGTTCTCTGCAGCTGACCAGCGCGGAGCAATCCAGGCTAGGGCACATAAGTCTTGAAAGATCAATGATGACAACAAAGCAGTATCAAGAGTCAGAAAACAAAATACAGAAATGCAAGAGTCGTCATAGCAGCACTTAGAGGGTCAACTTAGTGCCACGGCTTCTTCTGATCGCCCCATAGCTTGTCGAACCAGCCGACGCAATCCTCGCTCAGTGAGATCCGCTGGGTGCTGAGCGGGCTCACGGGTTGAAGTCAAGAGTTTAGTGCGATTGGAGCGACTGTCGTCCGACATCCGCTCTACTTGCGGCATTCTGGTTCTCAAGCCATGCCCTACCGCCGGGCCCTTGAGCAGTGTGTCAAATCGCCATCATCACCATCATCATCACCACCACCACCACCGCCATCGACATTGCCGCTCCAACAAATCATTCTTGTCAACAAGCCATCTGCATTCGCGACAGTGAACGACGGTCCATGTGACTGCTGCGGCTTGTTTCGCTGCTGCTGACCGTATACGACTATACGACTAGGACTAGGACTAGGGCTGCTGCTACTGCCACTGCAACTACTAGTTACTGCTACTGCTACTACTGCGAGTGCTGCTGCAACTGCTACCGCCACTGCGACTGCTATTGCTACTTCTGCTACTGCTAACCCTCGTGCTAGTGCTAGTGCTAGTGCTACTGCTGGTGCTTATGCTTCCTGCTACTGCGCTGCTCCAGCTCCTGCTCCTTCTGCTCCTGCTGCTCCTGTTCCCCTGCTGCCCCCTTGACCCTGCCGCTGCTACTGCTACTTCTTTCTCATCACTCCTTCTATCATCCTACTCACTGCTGTTGCTGCTAGACCGAGGATGGCCCACATGCAGCCTCGCACAAGGGTGTTAATCCCCGGTCCGAGGGGTTGCTCGGCCCCGTGGCTGTGCAGCTGCTCGCGTCGCTGCCCTCTTTTGGAGGAAACCTGGCTTGGGTGGGTTTCAAGAGTCACAGTGCAACCTTGGGGAGAAGAAGCAGGTTCAGAAATAAGATGCGCAAATCAGCGGCATGTGTTTCCCTTGTGCAGGTCCGAACTTCGGAAAAGCAACTAAAGTTAGCTGGTCACCAGTCAGCCATCCACCTGGCATCTCGGCTCCGCTCAAAAGAAGTTACGCTATAACCCTACGACAGATCCCCTATAGACCCCTTTTAAAGGAGCCCTCTTCTACTTATTAAGGAATGCTGGCAGTCGAAGACAAACCCTTTAAGTCCAGGCCGGGTGCGCCTGCCCTTCTCGCAGAATTGGAATTTGTCCGAGTTCCCCCTGTTGGCACAAAGGTTGTGGTCTGGATTGTCCTCAGACGCCAACGCACGCGCTTGCGCCAGCAAGACCCACGGCTGAACCATGATGCAACTAATAGTTATGTTTACAGTCTTAGTCTTGTTGTCACACTGCTCCCTTCCGAGGTCTTGGCAGCCGGGTTCTGCGTGTCGAGGACATTCGTGTCCAAGAACCAGATGTCCGCATCGAACCTCTGCAGTACTGTACATTTAGGCTGGGAAGTAGCGTGTGGGTGATAGCTGGGAATGTTGTCGGATGTAACGAATAATCTATTAGGCTGTGAGTTCCTATGTTGGAGACTGCAACACAAAACATTGATTGAAGGTCCACATGCAGTAGTCATGATAAACGGCCCGGCGTAGTAAGGACAGGACACGCTGGAGATGGCGCGGGTACGCGGAAACTTACTTCTGGCACGCCAAGTCTGTCTGAGTGACTGCGATTTTTTCTGTCGTTCTTGGTCAGTATGTCGCGCAGACTAGTAACGAGACTGATTTGAACAGCCGAAGCAGTTGTTGCTGGCTTGACCTGAGCCAACCACGTTCAAGCCTATCAACTCTCACAGCACAGTGAACAATTCTGGTTGGGCCAATTGGTTTCGCCCCGGATGCCTATAACCGCCAATCGAATTACCCTGGTTGCCCAATGTTGTCGCATGTGCCTCAGGCCAAGTACCCTTTCCTTTTCGCAAGTGGGGCAATTGCTGCCCACCCACCCAGATGTAACGCAACTGGTGCATAACTGGCACAGCTAGCGCAATCAACGTCAGTGGTTCCAGCTCTGATTTGCAACACTCTTGGGGTCCCGGCAGCTGGCTACTAGCTAGCAATGAGTGATATTGCGAAAATGCAAGCAGAACAGAGGAGGCTCATCTGGCAAGTAAGCCCCTGCTCGAAGTCTGGCCACAGAGCTCTTAGCCCTCGGCGTCTTGAACTGCACACGCCTGTGCCAATACGGAGCTGGCATGACCCAGCGTCCACCATCCTCCATGCGTTTGACGGATTGACGTTGTAACTATTATTACTACGAGAACTATGCTTCTACTACTAGAACCACCCTTAGCACCACCTGTCGGACTCCTCCACATTAAGCTCTTTGCTACAGCAATTATGCGTAGCACTATGTTCGTTCATTCTGCTGTCGTCTTGGGGAGTGTTGTGGACTGGCTGCTGGCCTCATGGTTTCTGGTCATAGCTACGAGTACTTCGACTTGTTGGAGAACGTTGGCTCATCATTGGCCAGTCACCGACCCGAAACCCAAAAGCTTGAGCCCAAGAGCCAGTACCCTGAAAACCCTTAAACCCCAAATAGGGAGATTCTTCAGAGCACGTTTGGCAGATGGTGAGCGCATCCGCAGATATAACCGGACTCAGAGATGCAATGCATAGTTACAGCTCTGATGTGACAGCCATGATTTGCGTGTTTCCGGCGTACTTTAAACTTGAGGGGTTTGTGCCGTGTGGATTTAAAATGTATGGCCACCTGTTTTCGAGGTTCCTCTTTACAGAATGGATCCATGGATCTAGCAACACCGGCTGGGCTGCTTTAGGGGGGTAAGCTTCAAGGGCCCCAGGTCACAAGCTCAGGAGAGCTGGTGCCTTCATCTGAAACATCATGGCCTCGGGAGCTGTGGACTGCCCGAACCTTAGCCCTGCGTCCTTGAAGGTGTAGAAGATCTGCTGGTCCCAGCCCTGCATCACTAAAGAGCTCTAGCATGCCGAGGTCCACATTCGGCTTAAGGCCGATGCGATTAAGGTCATCATTATAAACGGCATTCGCACATGATTCTGACGATGGTTGCGGAAGTCAGCTTTTTTATAGGCTCTAGGGGTGTATAGGGCACATTGCCGGCAGGCCGGCCAGGGTAAACGCTTCGGAGTTTGACATCCCCCAGCCGCAGCCGACCGAGCCTTGATGTAGCAGACACCACCATAGTCGTGGTTGCCGAGGACCTCGGCCAACCCCACCGCGCAGGAGCGAACTTTCCGATCTGCGAAGTTTCAGAGGCTCTTGCGCTCCACCATTCCATGTTGCCCAGGTCCTCCGAGACAGCAAGAGCAAGAGGCCTGATTCCGAAAGCACGGAACCCTTCTACCAGAAAAGCTCTCGAATGCCGTGCGGGCTTGCTCAACTGCAAACAAGATTGCAGATCTAATCTTACAACCTTGGTGCTGTCTTCCATTAAACGGCCTGCACGGGGTACATCTCCTCGAAGACCTTCTTGAACCTAAGCCGAAGGATCCGCAGGGGCTTGCAAATGTGACCCGGGTATTTTCCTCGATGTCATAGCCTAAGACAAGACACGTGATGTGAAGGTCAGGGAGAGGGTCCTACACGATGCTTTTTTGGAGTTTATGGAGAGCCCTGACCCATGGACCCCAATTCCCGAACAGACGTACATGTACCGGGGACACAGAACCCACGTCAGACTAGTTTCACCTGCCTGACACGGCGGTTGGGGGGATTGATTAGCATTTGGCCCGTCCAGCAGACGTCAAATTACTGGTTGCACTCTGGCTTGTTGCACTTTGACTTGCTACTACAGCAAGAGCGCTGAAATCTTGAAGCTTTTGCTGCAACTGCAAGCTGAGCTTCCTGCTGAAAGGCCAAGAAGGAATCCTCTGGGGTGTTTACGCTGTCGCAGTGCCTCGGCTCGCTAAGTGCAGCTTATATATTCCGGGGCCAAGATCCTGGTGTCAGGTTTCGGGCCGAGGACTCAGGCAAAACCTCACACACCTTTGCAGATACGTGTTTGAGGGTTGTTCGACTGTTCCTGGGACCTTTTCTCATCCGCAGGTCCGGTAATTCTAGGGAATGAAGATGAATCAAGCCTACCTGTACTACGGCGTACTATGGGCCGCCGAACTGAGCACAAGTACTGGCAGCTCCCTTTAAAACGACAGGCTCCCGCGATAGTGGCAGCGTCACAGCGTGACAAGTGACAAGATGCCCAAGCCGAGCCATGCACTGGCCTACGGCCTATGGCGGAGGGGACACCGCGAGAGCTCCCACGGAATGTGAGGGACAAGACTGACAAGAAATAAGATAGTTTGCAGCTGGCTTGCCTACTTACACTCCCGCTGCAGATGGAAGAATGCTCCAGACATCCACGAGGTTTGTCCACAGACATAAGAAACTTCGTTGTCCACGCCGGTACTGGCAAGCTTGTGCGCCTTCTCTCACTGTGACCTACTCTGTGAAAACCTCGACCTGTCCAGCTTCTGGAAGCATGGAAACCCTAAACCCTAAACGGAAGCATGGAATGGCCCAGGAGGTGCCCCGAGGACTTGTACGTAGCTCTGTTAAAGTCCGAGTCATCGTACCCGACGCTCTCCCTACCTCTTCTTGAGCCTAAGCTCTGATCTCGACTGCACTTAGCTACCACTTTCACGGTTCAGGCTCCAGCGGTTTGGGGCTTTGGGGTCATCTTCGTTTGTCAGATGGCCACTTCTCGAGACACAGGATCTCAAGAATCTGCCGTCGGCCTGCCCTTGCTGGAGGTCTCGCAAAAGATGGAAACTGGCAGTTCTCAGTCACGCACGCGTTGATGCCACCAGGATAGAAGTTGTCACCTGCGGAGACATCAAGGTCTAGGTTTCATTCCCGTGCATCAGCTGGTTCTTTTGTCACATCCGAGAGAGAACACCTGAAGCAACGGATTGGCTGATATTGTCGGTCACATCAGAGCCTGAGTTGCGGGTTTGCCACTCGAGGACTGCAACCGCCCCGGCTACATCACTAGCATGGGCTGGGACGTAACATGGTCGGCTGCCACCGCCTGACCCTAAAGCCCTTAGCAGTGTTACTGTACGAGCTCACATCCGGCATTTATTCGTGTAATCAGCGCATACAGACACGTACTGGCAGACATGACACCAGAGGCTCACATCTACATCTCATGCACCACGCCAGATATTGGCCTCTTTCAATAGGATCCACTAGTGATCTATAATGTCCATGATCTAACCTGGGAGGTTCGCAGGATCTTGAAACACGCACAAGAGCCCCACACCCATCTTGCCTACGTTGAGCACGAACCTGGGCGGCGTGCCTTGGAGCTAGACAACAGACTCATGTTTGGCAAGGATTTGTGTGAAGGAAAGATTGTCCGGTGCGTCCTGTCTGCAAGGGCTTTGTCTCGAACAGGCTATACCGCGACGGCCAACTTGACAGCCAGTCGTGTGCTTGCACAGGCCACAGGAAGCAACAAGCATCTCACCACGATCAGAATGTTGAAACTGTCGCAAAGCATCATCATAGCAGTACCAGTGTCACAGCAGTAATATCTCCAATGGCGATGGCTCTTTGTCACTTTGCGTCTGCTCTCCAAGGCCTTGGGTCGTGGCCCTTCTGCTGCAGCTCCTGGGCCTGCGTTCCCACACAGGTGGCGGCAGTAATGCTTCTTCTTCCGCTGCGTAGTAATGATCGTTTCGATAGCAATAGTCACAATGAAGCCGCAGTAGTACTGTAACAAGTAACAATCATGGTGCATGTCTGCGATTGCTTCCGGAATTGCGGCATTCCCTCGGGCGGGGGTAGCAGCAAGATTCGTCGCCCTGAATCATCATCATCAACATCATCAGCATCATCAGCATCATCATCGTCATCATCATCCCCATCACTGCCGTCACCAGTCCATCACCACCACCATCAGCATCTTCACTGCCTCTTAGCCCAAACTGAGTCCAAAAACCTTGCCTCTGCGCTGTCCTGTCTCCTGCTTTCCCCACTCTCACACCCAAAGCCAATCTGATGATCAGCCTTCACCTTCATTTGGCTCGCGACGCGGTTCTGCGCACTGTAATCCTTGGCCAGAGCAGGACTTGCGGTGGGAACATGCTCAGCCGTGACAGCATCGACAGGATTGGCAGAAGGCTCTGAAAGGTCCCGGAACCACTCACTTCACCCCAGGAGTGATTCGCGAGGCTTACAGAAACGATCAAGGCTTAAGGGGCTTCGGGTGCGGCATAAATTGTTCGTCACTCTCGCTACATATTCGGAGGGCCTCGTTTGCATGAGATACTCTCTCCTGTCTACATCCCCGCACCCTGCAGGGCTGAGTGCTTTCGTTGAACACCATCGAAAGGCTTCTGAATCTCAATCGCTGACGAAGGAAGGCACTCCCTGTCTGAGAACAGGAGATGAGAACGGCAGCAAATGCCGTTAAACTGTAGCAGACCGGATCCCTAGCTGGTAGTGCACTGTCCCTTTTGCAAGCATAGCAGCTATAGCAAAGCAGTCCACTGGACAGCCAATTGCACTTCGAAGAGAACATGCAAGAAAGACTCAACTGCTGATCCACAGTACTCTCCTCGAAGGGAGGTGCTACATAAGAGGTCGTCAGGATTTAAGAGGTAAGCGCCGCGCGATTGGGTCCTGGAGCGGCGCACCGTGGCGGTTGGGCATAGGAACCACCCTTTCAAAACTCAGGCGCTAAGGGCCGAGGATGTGCACTTCGGTGATGTTTTTGCGAGTTGTCCAGTTACCAGTTACCACCATTGCAACGTTCGTTTCTGCTCTTGCTGCTTGGCCTCTGATGGCTATGACACGTTGGAGTTGCGCTTACTGATGGAATTGCGCGGGTCTACCATTGAAGCATGCTACAAGCAGCGCGACGACGACAACCACAACACGACAAACTACAATAACTGCTGAACCTGTTATTGATGCTGATGCTTATGCTCATATTTCATGCTGATGCTGATGATGCTGATGATGCTGCTGATGATTATGATGATGATGAGGAGGAGGAGGAGATGGAGGAGGAGATGGAGGAGGATGTTGATGATGATACCGACAATGATGCTGATGACGACAATTATGAGGATGACGACCATGATGACGCCGATGATGACGATGGTCATGAGAACTAAGGATGAGGACTCGTGATAGTGACGATTGCGATATGGTGGTGGGCACATGGCTGTCGCTGCTACTGTTAGCACTGCAATTGCTCCACTGGATTTCCGAATCTGGCAGCATTGCTGAAGAGGAGCTATCATATCGAACGACAACCAGTACCCAGACCCTGTCAGGATGTAACAGTAGATCCCTTTGAGGGTTTCCTGCAAAACTCTCATTTGCGGCACAGGGGTACTAGCTAGTTGTTATGCCGTGACTGTGTCTGGGTCCACGACGTTCCACAATGCCCCTCGCACATGCCTGTGACAAGGCCGGGAGCCGTGGCCCAAAGGATCACCAGCAACCCAGCCCAAGATTCCACTTCAATCACCTGTTGAAATTCACTGGGGGGCCCCTTCACGCAATGTCTAGAGGGGGTGAAGCGTGCAAACACCCGTTGCACTACAATCCTGGAAACGTACTGATGCAGGGCAAATGTGAGGCTGACAGCCAACATCATACATAACCTCAGTGCCGAAATCCTACCAGTACCAATACTCACAATGCAGTTCTACAACGAGAGCAGCTGCCTGGACGCCTTTCCACGTAAGATCTGTTCGTATGGCCCAGTAAACATCAGTGCAAGAGCATAAATCCCAAGCTCCCGAGCTGCCGGATACCATCTGCCAAGCTCGGTTTGAGAGTTGGAGGCCACGACAACTATGTCTCCATGCGAAGGTCGTGAAACAACCGAACATCTTTGCGGGACTGGAGATGTTGAAACCCTTGTCGGCCTCTCGCCGGTTGGGGGTTTCTGTCGATGCAAAAAGCTGGTCATGTAGTCACGGGTACAAGTCGCAATGCTCATGAGCAGTCGCTCCTGCGCTTTAGTCAGAAATAGTGTAGGCAATACATAATGACAAGGATCATGAAACCGATTCCCGAAGCGCTAAATCCTGGGCGGTCTTAGTATTTTGGGTTATGGAGCGTGGGGTTTGGAGACTCGAGGCACAGACTGCCGAGAAAAAAAGGGCAGGGGTCATGGTCCCGTCCAGCCTCCCCAGTCCTGGGCCAGACTTGGGAGCTTGGTCGAGGGAGGGGTTTATGGGCCAAGGGCTTAGGATTTCTTTCTTGAACGCATTGGGCTTCAGGGGTGTAGGATTTGGGGCTTAAGATGGGCTGTCTCCCAGCTCCTGTAGCAGGTGCAGCGGGCAGAGCTCTCTATCAACATCGGTCGGACCTGATTACATGGTCAGCGGCTCCTTCTGCCGGAACACCAGAGAGTCTACTCTGCGCCCTAACCACCCACCCTGCCAAACTTCAGCAAAGCATCACCAATGGTGAAGAAGTGGGCCTGGCGTTTCAGGCGACTCAGGAGAGGCCTGCTGCCCGGATGAAATTAAAAGTCTGCCGCTTCGCATTCACGTCAAGGCCGCAACTACATACGGATTCAAACTAGAACTAGAAGAAGATCCGAAGCCGTGCTCGCCCCGATCCCCCTTGGAAGCGCCAGAAACCCCCTAAGCTCTAAGCTCATTCCTTTCCATGGCAGAATTTTTTCCGGCACTTTCCGAGGGCCTCCGCGTCGTCGAAGCAAACCGTCGGCCAGCTGATGCCGTTGTATTTCAGGGCGTTGTCGGGCCTGGCTCTCAAGGATCCGCGCTCTCTTCCCGTAATGTACTTGCTTTCATGACATGCGACATTCAAAAGGCTGCTGAGATTGAGGGTTTAGGACTGGGCAGCCTACCGCTGTTTCGGGGATCTTACTCCTCCCACGGCCGCTGCGACCGTCGAACCCAAAGACACCAGTTACCGGTCATCATCAGATCTTTTTGGACGTTCCACACAAGTGCATGCTAGTTTCCTTGAAGCCCAGACTGTGCCCGAACCCAAGCCCCGAGTTCCCATAGTTCCCAGGACGACCAGACAGAAGTCAGGGCGGCACATGCCCGGTTTTGGATCCGGTGCAGGCAGGGAGGAGCAGCTGAGCTGGCAGGCCTGTGCGGTTGGACATCTTTGGACACATTTGGGACTGTCCTGTACCAATACATGGAAAACTTTGTCTCTTCGTCTTGTCCTGAGATACAAGTATCAGGGTGATGACGATACTAGTGATTTTGATGGTGTTGATAATGATGTGGACGGTGATGGCATTCACGGTAATCATGATGATGTTGAACATCAGGACCAGAAGTCGAAGAAGATGATGATCAAGCATTGGCAGTAGTTGTCGTCCTGGCGATGGTCGTGGAACTCGTGCTGCCAGTGGTAGTTGTGATCGTCTTGGTGGTTGCAGTTGGCGACGTCTTCTAGCAGTAGTACTAGTTGTGGTAGCAGCAGCAGTAGTAGTAGCAGCAATAGTAATTAGTCGTGCAGTAGGAGTAGGAGTAGGAGTAGGAGCAGCAGGAGAATGAGTAGCCTCTAGCAGTCGCAGTGGCAGTAGCAGTAGAAGTAGTGGCAGTAACAGCGATTAGTAAGAGCTACTGATACTGCTACTGCAATTGCGACTTCTGCTGCTACTACTACTACTACTACTACTACTACTACTACTACTACTACTACTACTACTCCTGCTGCTGCTGCTACTACTGCTACTGCTACTGCTACTGCTATTGCTGCTGGTATGAAGACTGCTGCTGTTGCTTTGGAGCTTGTGTGCATCAAGGTGCTGGCCTTGTCCTCCAGAGTGTACGGGGACGAGCAGTCCTGGCCTGGGTGAGCGCAATGCGGGTCGGCTGGTTGATGCCCAGCGCTTTTGAGTGGACGGGTTGAGGCGCGGCTCAGGCCGCAAGTGTACGAGTGGGCTCAGTGCCGAGCTGTTCAACGACTTTAGAATGCAATCTTGCCAAGCCCAAGCCCCCACATCGGAGGCTGAGACGATCGCGCGAGCTTGATTGGGCGAAATGCTTACTTGCCCGTGACCTGCTGCACCTGTACTGGGTTCCCAGGCATTCCGTCTCGCCATCCGGGCCACCGGTCCAGTAGCACCTAGGCAGATGCCCAAAGTAGCCGGTGGATTGTTTGGTTCGGTCGGCAGGAGACAGGTGATGCAGGTCATAATCAAAAATCAAAGGCGCCTAATAGTCTTATGTGAACTCGCCGCACACCGGAAAGCTCAACAGCTGATATCCAAGACATGGCTTAGTCTGATGCCTTACAATGATAATCAATGACGACATTAAAGCTGATGCATCGCACCCTCCTCCTCAGCATCGTCACATTCGTCCTCCATCGCCCGCTCCTTCCCCTCATCATCATCATCATCATCATCTACCTTGCCTGGGGCATGCACTTCGAGCAATGTGCCCTCTGGAAATCCGCCGGGCATGTAATCGGCCCTTGGCGGAGAAGCTCATCTTAGAGGCTAGAGTCCGGCGAAGTCGACAAAGAAGTGATAACCCGTGGCTCGGCAGACATACAGGCAGCAAGCAAAGCGGTCAATGCGATGGGAAGAAGTTGCGAGACAGGATGACGACTGGCACGGTGCACTAGATGGGCCGAAGTCATCCATGATTATCAAGACCACGACCTTCAGAATCACATGCAATAACTGCATCTTGAGAGAATGAAACATGAGATCTTCGATGCATAACTGTTACAGTATCTGAACCCTCTTCGGAAAGCCGACGGTTCCATGTCGGATAGTTTCCGATTCACTTTGTCCACAACACGACAGCCGAGGACAGGCTCATGTTGAAATTTTGCAAAGAAATTGCCTGCCTGCTGGTCTCAGTGTTGTGGTCGTTGTGGTCGTCGTAGGCTCATCGGCGGCGGTAGTAGTTGTTCCTGTAAAACTGCATCCAAACAACGCCATTCCAGGCGCCACTGCCAACGTGAGGCTTTGCTCAGATGCCCTAGTAGCCGACGGCGGGTTCCAGTTCAAGTCAACGTCAAAAACTCGCAGTGAAGGAGTGTTGCGAGCGGTAGTGGCAGTGGAAGTAGCTGTGTTACTCCTAGTGGCAGTAGCAGTAGCAGCAGCGGCGGCGGGCAGCGATGGTGATGGTGGCGGTGGCGGTGGCGGTGGCGGTGGCGGTGGCGGTGGCGGTGGCGGTGGCGGTGGTGGTGGTGGTGGTGGTGGTGGTGGTGGCAGTATCAGTAGTAGTAGTAGTAGTAGTATAGTAGTAGTAGTAGTAGTAGTAGTAGTAGTAGTAGTAGTAGTAGTAGTAGTAGTAGTAGTAGTAGTAGTAGTAGTAAGTAGTAGTAGCAGCAGCAGTAGCAGTAGTAGCAGTAGTAGCAGTAGAAGTAGCAGTAGTAGTGGCATTCGGAGTCGCAGTGGTGGCAGTCACAGCGCCAGTGGCACGATGAATATGTGGGCGCGGAAATGAGCCTGAATTGACGCGCAATGGCAGTCGGCAGCAACTGCTGTGGCACAAGTGTAGCTTACGTTTCTCGGCACGAAACTGCACTGTGGTCGGAACAGCCAGTCCTTTATCTCCATCCTTTTTGCCATCTTCACCTGGGAGCAAGATCGTTGAGGGAAACCCTGCTGACACCTAAACCAACTGTGCCAGTTGGCAACACGGCCCCCAAACCCCCAAACCGTAAACTTATGGGTAGATGTGTGTGTATATATACATATATATATGTATGTATATATATATATATATATGTATATATATATATATATATATATATATGTATATATATACATATATATATATATATATGTATACATATGTATATGTATGCATGCATGTCTGTGTATACAGATGTGTCATTGTTTAGGTGTACGGATGTATGCATGAATACATAAGACACTGCAAATGCTGTTGATGAAAACATGTATAGATGCCTGAATGTACAGATGTATCCAGGTGTAGATGTGTATTATAGATGTACACATGTATAGTTGTAGTTATGCATCTATGTTGTATGTGTGTGTGTATATATATATATATATATTACATGCGCTTCAAGTTACCTTCTCCATCTTTCTCTTCTGTACCCTACCTCTTTCTCGTCCTCTTCCCGTTCCTGTTCCCTTCGTTCATGTCCTTTGTCCTTGTCCTTTTCCATTGTTCCTGTCCTGTGCCTGTTCCTGGTCCATTTCATTGTCCTGGTCCTTTCCTTTTTCCATATCCTTTCCATAAAGGCGCTACAACCCCACTCTTGAAAATTGCATTCGCCGAGTTTTTGCAACTCGGTTCGGCCACAGGTTCTGATCGATAGTACTCAAGGGTGACCTCACGAATCTGATGTCAAGTTTGCAATGTCTGAGTCTGAGCATTTAGCCGAAGATGTTGCTGCAAAGCTCATGTTGTCTTGCTCCGCAGAGTTGCTGCGAGAACACCATCAGGTGGTTCGATGGGACCGAACGAGACAAGACTACTACTCCAGTACGGGGCAAATACTCCAGTAAGAACACGAGCAAGGGAGGCAAAGACGGGCAGATGTTCATCTGTGAGCTCCTCACGCAAAGCCCCAGCTCGATCTGGAACACTTACACCATTCGACTCGAGCATTGGAGTCCACACTTTAAGGTTCCAAGACAAGTCTTCCCAATCAGGAGAAAAAACTTTGTGCAGTGGAAGCCGAAGCTTCCCAACAACGCTGTCGTCGCCATCACACGCTACCAAGGTTCCTTGAAGCTGCCAGTTTCGCTACAAGCTACCTCAAAGGACTGCGCAAGGCTCATTGGAACACAAAGTAAACCTGAACGTTCACAGCAGTGCTTTGTCTCTGTATGCACCAAAGTGCAGGCCTTGAGCCACGATGTGGCTATCTCTGAATCTGAAGACCATATCTTGACACAAACGCACAAGAAACATATTTGCATGCATACATCAAGCCTTACGTGCATACATCCATACAGGCATACAGGCATACACACAGACACAGAGACAGACGGACACAGACAGACGAACAGAAACAGTGAGACGGACGGACGGACCGACAGACCGACCGACCGACCGACAGACAGCCAACCAGGCAGGCAGGCAGACAGACAGACAGACAAACAGACAAACAGACAAACAGACAAACAGACAAACAGACAGACAGACAGACAGACAAACAGACAGACATGCAGAAATGCAAACATGTATAGAGCATACATGCATACATATACATAAACACACACACACATATATATAATATATATATATATATATATTATATATAGATGTAGATGCATTACGGGTATGTAGTAAATATAATATATGCGAATGTATATGTACTATATGTATTATACGTAATGTATGTATTGTAATCATGTGTACTATATATATATATATATATATATTATACTATATTATATTATATTATATTATATTATATTATATTATATTATATTATATTATATTATATTATATTATATTATATTATATATGTATGTATTATATGTATTATGTGCATTTTCTGTATTGTATGTATTATATGTACAGAAGGGTCGATCCTGGGCCATATGTACTGTATGTGTTATGTGTAGTATATGTAGTATGTGGGGTATGTGTATTATATGTGTTGTATGTGTTATATGTAGTAGATGCATTATATGTATGTGTTATATGTAGTAAATGTATTATATGTATTATACTAAGTATATGTACATGTATATGTATATGTACATGTATCTGCGTGCGCCTGCGGTTGAGCATCCGCACAGAGACAGGGCGACGTAACCCAGCAGGGCGCCGACGACCTGAAAGGCTCCAAAGCCCAGGCTCGGGAGGATTCGCAGCCAAGCGGGCCAGACGGGGGTTTCTGCTTCTTAGGGTTTAGGGGCATTGAGGGGTTTAGGGGTTTTTCGGGTTTGGGGCTTTTTGCTTTCTCAGGTTGTTTGCGATTACCAAGGCGGATATTCTGATTGGAGGCTCAACTTTGGCCGATCCGACAGAGGATGCCTTTGGACAATCGCAACCTGGGAGTTTCCGAAAATTGGGCGGGGTACCTTATTTGAGGGAACACATATGAAGACACAATACACACAACAGTCGTGCCTGAGGACTGGTAGCGATGATCATAACTGACCTATGTACCGAAGCACAGCTCGCATCAGCAAGGTTATCAGGAACCGAATCTTTATGATCACAGCAATCACGCGCATGCTTCAAACTTTTCGTAGAGTTTCAGCGCATGTAGACAGTGACAGCAGTTTTAATGTAAGTCTCGGTGCAGATTTTGGGACATATGGGCTGCCTATGGGGTGTAAGGTGGGAACTCAGGGGTTGCCTCACGTTCAGTCAGGAAGCGCAGCAACGGCAACAACACAACCAGCAACCAAAAAAGAACCTTCAAACATGATGGAATCACTGATGTCTGCTACAGTATGTCGGAAATCAAAACACGATGCATCGAACTTCTCTGGCTACCATCGAAACTTTGAGGGCCACGCGACGGCTTTCATGCTTCCGCGGGATCTCCTGGCATTCGGGCTTAACGCTCTCGTTGCCAGAAGTGTCGGTCTTCACTATCGGTTGGGATGAAGCTTAGGGCGTAGGCACGACCTCTAGAAATCTAGGGCGGCAGTGGCGGCAGTCCGAGGTTTGGGCTTCGGCTTGCAGCACAGGGATCGGTGAGTTCAGGAAGGCTCACCATTCTGGTCGCAGATGAGGACAAGATCAAGATACATCAGAAGAACAAATCTGCAAAAGAGAAAGAACAGCAGTCAGGCAAATAAGAGGAGCCCAATTGATGACCTACGCAGATGACAAGAGGGAAATTCGGAAGAACAGGTGGCTGACCTCAGATGACGGACGAGCCTTTCCACACCGCGCGGCAGGTAGGTTGTCGCTGCGAGCTCTTGAGCCAAAGACACCTGAACCATATATCGGTTGCAGCTGCGCTTCTGATGCATGCTGTCCGTGCTTGTCCGGATGTTGGCTGTTTGTCTCTAGTACTCGTAGTAGCAGTGGAGGTAGGAGCAGGAAAAGGAGTAGGACCAGTCAGAGTAGGAGTGGGAGTGAGGAGGAGGCGGGAGGAAGGAGGAGGGGGAGGAGGCGGGGAAAAAGAGGAGGAGAGGAGTAGCAGCAGCAGCAAGGGGCGTGGAAACAGTCGATGTTCTCCTGGTTCTGGGACTGGTGCGACGACTATCACATGACACCACCACCACTAGGCTCCGTAAAGCACCACGAAAAGGAATCAAGCTTTTGACAAGACGCCGCGCAGCGTCGGCAGGTGAAACTGTCCAGGGCATTTGCAGTGCAAGGTGCACGCTGCAAGGTGCACGCTGCAAGCAGCTTGCCATCGGGAATAAACGTTCTAAACACAACCCTGGACCCTCTTCCGGCCCACATCCCAGCTACGGCTCGACGCTACTACCGAAGCACATGTTGCAACAACACCATACATTGAAAATGTCCCTGCTTCATGTATGTCACCACTCCTCTGCAGCGAGCTCAGCTTCGCAAGCCTGAAGGCAACAGAAAGCTGCAACATAGTAGCAGGAGTAGTAGTAGTTGTAGTTGCAAATGCAGTTGTAGTAGTAGCAGCTGCTACCTTGATACGACGGAAAACAAGGAGCTGAGATCCGCACTGCGGGAAAGCTTGGGAGCATAGGCCTTGCATGATGGCTGCCGCGCACCACAACGATAAAACATTTCGGTTGAGGGTTCAAGGATATTTGAAGCATTTTTTGCTTGTTGGGGGCCTTTTTCAATCGGCTATTCCATTTGTTTGGCTGTAGGCGCGAAAACTGAAACGCAATAACCAGATGAACAACTCCAAAGTGATGTGTCCTCTAAAGGCCAAGCACAATGCGAGAATGACAAAAGGATTGCCTGCCTGACCCACGAGTACTGTAGAGGCCCGTGTTCTCAGGCTCGGGCTGCAGCCAGATACCGGAGTGCCGCCATCTGCATGGAGCTGATACACAGCGCCTGGGCAAGGAGGTGAGTTGCAGAACTCAGTGTCACCAGCAGCACCAGCAGCAGCAGCAGCAGCGGCAGCAGCAGCAGCAGCAGCAGCAGTGCCAGAACCTGTGCCAATGCCCAGACTTCCTAGACCTGGCAAACAATACAGGCACTTGTACTCGTATGTGCCGGTATGCCAAGTGTTCTTATTGTCCTTCTCGTCTTGTTGTGACTGGACCTCTTTTTTGCGCCTCCTGCTTCGATGTCTGTACTTCGGGCTACATGCGTCGCGATGCACCGAAGTGCTGGTACAGGATGCAACGACATCTCAGCTTCTGCAACGGTTGCTGCTGGGGCAACTCGCAAAGCTATTTCCAGTCATGAGCTGCTGTTCCGCAAGCCCATGTTTTGCCAGCGAATTATCAACCCCCACCCCCGGCAAAAGCAGTTTTAAAGAGCCTTTGTAAACAGTTCGCGACTTCCCTGATGGAGCCAGCAACTGTTTTGAGCGAACCTGTCTTTAAAAACTGAAGAGCTTCATTAAAAAAACGCAGAAAAGATTTTCGTAAAATCTATTTATAGTCACCTTTCCTCAAGAAGCAGGATTTTATTACAACCGAAAAGACTTCAAAGCCGCTGCGAATTCAAAGGTTCCTCAATGAAAAATCTACCCATTACCCAGAAACTTGGGCGATCTTTTGAAATCTCAGGGCGGGGGGTGGGGGGGGTGTAAGATGGCAGATGAATGTTGCTGGAACGGAGAGAGCAACAAATGCAACTGACTATCTCTCTGATTCTTCATCATCCTCCCGCGACTTCCCATCTGCCGCAACAGCTACACTGTGGGTCACGATGCTGATAAAGGTGATCGTGATGACGCGAACACTACCAATTCCAACAACCACACCGTTGAAGTCAAAAAAGCCAGCAGTGGCACAAGTAGCAATGACACTGACAATAGCAAAGAACATGACGGCGGCAACAGCCACGACAACACCCACTGCAACCAATATCCGAGCCATGGAGCAGCAAATGCCGAACAAAAACAGCAAAACAGGAGTGAGACGACACGCAATGGCAAGGCAATCACAGTGACAAATAGCGGAATCAGTAGAAGTACTTGGCACAAGTGTCCAGATGAGCAAGAAAGGTTCGACACACCATGGTGGGAGTAGCACTGAAAAAATCAACTTACAATACAAAGGCGGTAGATGGTGCAGACGATGACCAACAAAACAGTGACGATAGAACAAACAAACTAACTAATAATTGATGGACACAGCAGAACACCACTATGGCAAATGTGCTAGTTTTATCTGGTACAATCAATACCAACAGCAAGCTTAAATGTAGGCCCCCCCCCTGAGGCTGGAGCTGCCAGACCCAGAGCGCATAGCAGCAACAACACCTGATCGTCCACCTTCGATCAACGATTCCAGGAAACGATGATGTCTCATAACGTACCTTAGGGGGGTGTGGATCAAATATCAAAGCACGCAGTGACGCAGTGCGTTCTGAGGATAGTCAAGGAATTGTTCAGGATGAGCATGCTTTTTGTTGAATGCGGAATTCTGCTCCAGCTGTGGTGCTCAGCGATTTAGGGCACGCTGACTCCGGCATTACGACTTTGCTGATTCAAAAACAAGCGGGGGCCGCACGTGTCTCTCCAAGGCGAACCCGGTGAAGACTGCGATCACTGTGGCCTCATGGGCCCAGCCAGGTAAGACCTAAAAATACAGAAGAGGAGGCTGTGGGGCCTGCGTTTTGGCAACCCACTGTTTTTAGTGATTTTGTGTGTTTCGGATGGTTGTGCGTGGGTTGCTGTGGTAATTGTGTACAAGTTTGGTACGTGTGTATGCTGATGTTGTTGTTTTGGACCTACAACATCAAGTCTGAGTTGTTGTACAACACGAGGTCTGTTGATAAACACTGGGTTTGTTTATAAACATGTTGTCTCGTCATAGCGTGCTCGTGCATGTGCCTCCTCTTCTGAACCGATGCTGTATTTGTTTATAAACAGGTAGACTGCCAGATGATGTTTAACTCTTATCTGATTGATACGTCTTGACCTTGGAGGGGGAGGGGGGGTGTGCGGCTTAAACCCGGGTTTATTTGGAAGCTGCCTTTTGCGTATTGGTGTGGAAAACGTATATACACAAGCCAAATAAACCCTATTTGGATTTCCCGGGGGGGGGGGGGGGTCGGGGCCGGGAATTGAATAATTCAAGAATTTTTAATAATTTCAATCCTGGGGAGGGGGTCCAGGGAGGGTCCGGGACCCCGGAAATTAAAGAATTTACATAATTTAAACCCGGGGCTCTCTCCCAATATTTAAATTATTTAAATTACTTAATTCCCTGGCCCGGCCCCCTCCACAAACCCCCTCCTCAGGATTTACATCATTTAAATTATGTACATTACTGAAAGTAGTTAATCCGGGCCGTGAATTACATAATTTAAATACATTGAAAAATTTAAATAACATATATAATTTAAATCCTGGGGATTGGGTCCAGGGGGGGGCCGGTACCCGAAAACTCAAAAAAAAATACATAATTTACATCCAGGGCCCTCTCCCAATATTTACATTATTTAAATTATTAATTCCCCGGCCCGGCCCCCTCCGGGACCCCCTCCTCAAAATTTACATTATTTATCTGTATGTAAATGATTTAAGTCGGGCCGGGAAAGAAATTAAAAATTTACATAATCTACATAATTCAAATAATTTAAAGGGGGCCGGGCCGGGGAATTAAATAAGTTGAATAATTAAACCCGGTGCTCTTTCCCAATATTTTGAATTATTTCATTAATTGAATTCCCCTGCCCGGCCCCCACCGGGACTCTTTCCTCAGGATTTAAATTCTGTAAATTATTTACATCATTTAATACGGGCCGGGAATTAAATTATTGAGATAATATAAACAATTGAAATCCTGGGGATGGGTTCCAGGGGGGGTCCGGGACCCCGAGAATTAAATAAGGTAAATAATTTAAATCCGGGGCCCTCTCCCAATCTTTGAACTATTTGGATAATTTAATTCCCCGGCCCGACCCCCTCCGGGACCCACTCCTCAGGAATTGAATTATTTGAATTAGTTAAATTGTTTTTTGATTTAATTCGGGCCGGGAATCAACTACTGTAAATAATTTAAATCCTGGGGAGGGGGTCCAGGGGGGGTCCGGGACCCCGGGAGTTCAATAATTTAGAGAAGCAGGGAGGCTCCGAATTTAAGATATGTAAATTATGTCCTATCCTTTTGTTATGTTACCTATGCTCACCTAGCCACCCAGCCACCCACCCACCACCCACCCAGCCACCCACCCACCCCCGACCCCCCCACCTGTGGACTATTCACTATTCTGCGCGAAACCCTGCCGGGGGACACCCCTTGCGGTTTGAATTTTGGTACTTGTTTCTCGCAAAAGTCGGTAGGGTGACACCGGGACACCCCTTGCGATCTGCGAGTTTTTATGAAGCCTTGGGGGTACCTGAGTGGGACAGCCCTTGCGGTTCATGATTTGGGCACTTATGTATTTCTAATACAGACCTGTAGGGAGACACTCTTTGCGATCCGTGATTTTGGGATTTGCGCTTCTTCAAAACCTAATGGGACACCCCTTGCGGGCCCCAGCCCCCAGCCCCAGCCCACCACCGCATCTGTTGGCAAAATCTGGCGGAAGTGAGCCGTCACCGAGCAGAAAGCAGGTAAATACCACCTCAAACAAAGGGCCAAAAATATCACGCATCTGTTGGCAACATGATCACAGCTCACTTCCGCCAGATTCTGCCAACGGATGTGTGAAATCCCTGGCCATTTGCTTAATGCGGTATTTACTGGTTTTTTGCTCGATGGCGGCTCACTTCCGCCCGGTTTTGCCAGGGACACCGGGACACACCTTGCGATCTGCGTGTTTTTATAAAGCCTTAGGGGTACCTGAGGAGGACAGCCCTTGCGGTTTATGATTTGGGCACTTATTTTTAATACAGACCTGTAGGGAAACACTCTTTGCGATCCGTGATTTTGGGATCTGCGCTTCTTCAATTTGAAGAAAACCTAATGGGACACCCCTTGCGGGCCCCAGCCCCCAACCCCAGCCCACCACCGCATCTGTTGGCAAAATCTGGCGGACACCGAGCAGAAAGCCTGTAAATACCGCGCTAAAACAAGGGCTAGGGATTTCACACATCTGCTGGCAACATTTGGCCGAAGTGAGCTGCGACCGAGCAAAAGGCTGATCACAGCTCACTTCCGCCAGATTCTGCCAACGGATGTGTGAAATCCCTAGCCCTTTGCTTAATGCTGTATTTACGGGCTTGTTGCTCGGTGGCGGCTCACTTCCACCAGATTTTGCCAGGAGACGTGTGAAATCCCTAGCCCTTGTTTTAACGCGACATTTACCTGCTTTCTGCTCGGTCGCGGCTCAGGCAGGGAAGGCTGGGCGTGCGGAAGCAGGCAGACGCGGGCTGGGGGACTGGCGGTTGGGGAGAGCCCCTCCCTTCCTCCACCCACCCACCCACCGGCACCCCCCCACCCGTGGATTATCGATTTGATGATTTTGGGTGCGCGAAGTGTCATCTAGCAGCCTCAGGTCTCCTCTCACAAAACTTTGACAATTTTTGGGGTCTAGGGTTTAGGGATTGATCACGAATCGTTGTTCATCTTCGATCTAGCTTGCTTGGGTTACCCCTTATAACCCTAAACCCTAAACCCTAGTAAATCCTCATATTACCCCTTATAACCCTAAAACCTAAACCCTAGTAAATCCTCATAATACCCCTTATAACCCTAAACTCTACACCCTAGTAAATCCTCATAGTACCCCTTATAACCCGAAACCCTAAACCATAGTAAATCCTCATAATACCCCGTATAACCCTAAACCCTAAACCCTAGTAAATCCTCACAATACCCCTTATGACCCGTAAATCCTCATAATACTCCTTATAACCCTAAACCCCTCATAATACCCCTTATAACCCTTCACCCTAGTAATCCTTACGCGCCCCTGAAGCCCCGAAAAAGCCCAAAGCTGGAGGCCCCGGCTGCTACGATGCCGCAGAGGGCCCAGAGACTGGAGCCCTGCCCTCGGAGGCCCAGGTTTTGAGGCTTTGGGTGTTCAGGGTTTAGGGTTTAAGACTTTGGAGGGTTTTGGGTTTTGTGTATTAGGGTTCAGGTTTTCAGGGCTTAGGATTTAGGGTTTTAGGGTTTAGGGTGTTGTGTTTGGGGTTTGGGCTGTAAGGCTTTGGGTTTGTTTGGGCTTCGGGTTTAGGGCTTCGTCCTTGTCCCTTGTCTTTGTTTCAGGAGGGTTCCCTCTTGGCCTCTGGGCCTGGGACACGGCTCCAGGCCTTCGTGCAGGGTATGGAGTTCAAGGATCTGGGCGGGTACTGTAGGGATTGAAGATGTCAGCTTTATGGGCGTGAGGAGAGATGTAGGATTAATGCTTCGAGCTGAGCCAGCGGCGGACCACTTCCAGCTCAATACCTGCTTGAGCTGAGGAGTGCTGGGTTGTGGGCCTCAGGGAACTTAAGGTTCATCGGCTTGGCGTTTCGGACGGTGCTGCAGTCAGAAACGAAAATAGGGGACCCTACTGTCGTGCCCCAAATAGTAGGATCCTTACTATGAGGACCCCCAAACAAGGTACCCCTAAGTTTCGGAAACTCCCATGGCATAGCAGTACCTGCAAGGAGTCCGGGGGCCTTGGCTGCCAGTCTCCAGGACAAAGATCACGCAGAACGGCCTCGGTAAAAAAGTAGGGTTATATGTCCCATAATATGGGCTATAATTTATAAGTGCAGTTACCCTAGTTATGACCCTACTTGCCTCGGCTCACTGCTCAGACCCAGGAAGGTCTGGGTCAAATACTCGGGCAAAAGGTGCAGGGTTTCGGGCTCGCGGAGTAGGGGTCAGGGAAGTTCCCCTTCCGGGCGTTGAAGCCAAGAGCCGTCAGAAACAGCACCAAACCCAGCCGCAGCCTCCATAGCACCGGGGCTGCCGCACGAAGAAGGCCAGCAGCATGCTCGCAATGAAAGGGACCTCCACGACGGACCGACGTGCCAGGGTTTTTTACAGCATTCCTGGTGTCAACATATTCCAATCACTGCGTAGCCTTCGCTGTCAAATGGGACCGGTCCGGCATGCGACCTGCAACGATTCGAAAGCCCATGTCTTTAGGACAGATTGCTGCTGTTTTGGCTTCCCGTGGCTTCCTGTCATTCGGACTCTTTTGCTCACATGGCTGGTTTTCTGCCCGGTCAGATGCCGCAAATGAAATTGCATGCCTGCCAGGATGGACGCCCCAAGAAACGCTGTGAATCAAGGATCAGACAGTCTGCTGCTACACCCTAGGCCCTAGCCCAGATCAACAAAGAGTGCTGACATCAACATGACCCTTCTGCAAGTGAGCAGCCTGCCAAAAGGGGCTGCTGCTCGAGCAAACTTTCTGACTTGGCGTAGGCGGCCGGGTTGTAGGCCTGCAAGACGTGATGATGACGATGAGGCTGATGATGATGATGATGATGACGTCTGGTTGTGATGGCACAGCAACCGTGATGATGATGATGATGGTGGTGGTGATGATGATGATGATGGGTGCGATGGTAGTCAGCAATAGCGATAACGATGGTCACGGTGTCACGGTGGCTGTGGTAATGATGGCAAGGAGCTGCCGGTGGTTGATAATTATCACCGAACATGTACCTCAGTCATTGCAACAACCGGCACGGTAGATTTGCTAGCATAGTTGTTCGAACTGTAAATACTGCTATTACCGTACAGCACTGAACTTTGCATCCTGCCGTCGCGCGCTCGTTTCACCTACTGCAGTTGTGTATACATCTGCTGACAGAAATGCAATCTCATGTCGGTAGTGGCTGACCTATTCGGCATTGTACTGCTTAACCGTGCTGCTACATCACGACATGTAACCGTACACAACTACGCAAGAAAAAAAACAACAAACGGCAAAAACAACCAAGGAAACCAAAACAATCTACAGACAAAAAACTGCTTTCAAAAGGTCACCCGTGGCGCGGCAACATGCCTGGAAGCTGCCAAGGAAGGAGCCCCCATAAGCCGGTCGGGCACCAGGCCTTCGAAGGACCGGGAAAGGCAAAATGCAGAAAGGGTAGCTGTTGACCTCTCTGCCTATATCTTTCTCTTTCTCCTTCTCCTTCTGTTTCTCTGTCTCTCTCTTCTCGCTCGCTCTCCCCCTTTCTCCTCTGCATCCGTATGTTTGCACTGTGCGTGTGTGTGCGCATGCAAATGATCATGCTCTCGTCAACCGCACGGACACTGAGCCTCTTAATCAGGGAAGCAAACTCTGGTGTGCGACCCCAATCCTTCCGTGGAGCCATCCAACCCCTGTACAGATGCGGCTAGCATCAGAGTCAGCAACTCAAGGCGTGGTCCTGCGAAAATCAAACCGACCTGTAGTTCAACGTCCTGAGCTTCGACTAAACCGGTCCGTGCTGGACGGGCCTGTCACCTATCGCAGGCTCTGGATCACCTCCATTGACAGCAAGCATGGGAGCATTCATGCAAGCACCAGAGGCCTAAAGAAGACCGTGAGACTGATCCAGAGCAGGCAAAGAACCGCGAGTGCTGGGTCTGCGGCGTGGCATTGGTTTCAAACTGGCGATCTGCTGCTGCTACCACCACCACTAATGACGCCATCACCACTGCCCACGAGGAATTTGGGCTCTCGATCACTTGCAGGGTTGAGGAAAGGTCAAAACTCCTTTCCAGTTGTAAATTATGATGTGAAAACAAAATGCATAAACAAGAATCGCGAAATCGGAGTGGATCCGCAATCCCGAGTGAAGTGAAAGTGAGTTTTAACCGGATTAGACAATCATCCCCTTTTCGTTCTTGTGCCGGAGATATGATGCCTTAACGGTAAACTCATCGTCACCCAGGTCGTGTACCGGAATGTTGTAGGGGCAGATAGTTATCTCGGTTCTTCCATTCCAAAGCCAGCTCGTTTCTACATATATGAGGCCGACGCTTCTTGAACTGGCAGTGAACAGCACTAGTACAGGGGCGAAATAATTACCAATACAATTCTGGCAATTCCTCACAGTCATTAGTATAATGGCCCCCCAAACCCTATTCTAATTATCAAGGCCCCTTTTTTTCCGATGCGCAGGAGTTGCTTCTGCGCTTAGCATCGAGCCTCGAGCTGCCCCCCAGTGCCAAAATGCCAGCGCCTCGAATCTGCGGTCTAGTCTCGGGGCCTCATTGAAATGGGGTTTTGGGGACCCATTATACTACGAGTATAATTATAGGCCCCTACATTACTCTGGGATTCTGGTGATGAGGTTTTGGGGGCCCACTATACTATAATTACAGGTCCCTATAGGATTACTCTGGAATTCTGGGCGTTCAGGAATCAGGGGCTCCCGTTTACGGATTCGGAAGAGCACTCTGAGCAGCCCACGGAGAGCACGGCAAGGCCCGATGCGGCGAGCAAGGGAGGTACCAGCTCCCCTGCCATCGTCATGATGAGGATGCCATGGGCATGATAAAGAAAAGGGATGATTTGCGTGGCCGAAATACATGTCCATCTCTTCCTTGCTCTTTCTCCTTCCTTCTGACCGCTCTTTGGGGATGAGATACTCGGGTCGGAGATGCGGAGTTGCTTGCTCCGGCCCTACATTGACATCTTCACAGGGTTGGGGGCTGATGGCTCCCTGGTTTCGGCAGAAGTATGGGCCTATTCTTCAGCCACGTGCCTGTCTGGTCACGCTCTCGCCCTGTTGCCAGCTAATTACCTACTTCCTTTCAAAAGCTGCTGATGCCACCTCCGACAAAACAAACGGCAGGCCCCAAAAAAGCCGCCTGTCACAGCGGCTACGTGGAGCTCATGTCTCCGTAGGAGAACACGGAGCAAAAGCGCCTCGGATCTTCGAAACTCCCAAAACCCCAACATGGAACCCTGAGATGCTACCAGTGGGACCGAACCGAAACTTGAAAAAAACATCCGTATGGGAGGGGGGCTCCAAGGATGGTACTAACCGTCAGTTCTTTAAGAGTACTAAGGTTCCATTACGTCGCACTCAAGCCTCCCCCCTGGAAACACCCTCTCTTAAGGATCCTAGAAGAAACCCGAGCCCGATCAAGCCAGGTCCTGTGTCTGCAAAGGTTCTGCAACGGGCTCCCGGCGGAAACGCTACCCAGGATGACCTGAGGTGCAGGGTTGATGCAGTCGCTGGTGTCTTTGTTCGGCACCCAAGTGCCACAAGCGGCTCATGCAACCCTTGGCTCAAACGACGTCTCCCGCCACGGCCGACATCTTTCAAAGAATTCAAGCTGTCGACTGAACAGTTGGAGCCGCGTCTCCCAAGAAGTTGGAGCCAGGAGCCCAGTGCGGTTGCTTCCGGAGCCCAGCTGACCGTTAAGATGAGCATCATCAGCAGGCATTACCCATCTGTCACCCCGAACCTCCAGACCCGACGAAATTCCGGACACTAAGAACAATATCCGAAACTTCCAATAGCCCTAGAATCTACAAGGCCCTCAACCCCAAACGAGACACATCCAAACCCGAACCCTACACTCCCGGTTTGAAAGCTCCCAACTTTACCTTTGGAGCATCCAAGGAACCAGGGCATACTCGACGCAGAGCCCCTTGCCCGATCTCCTGAATTGTAGGGGATGATGGGCTTCGCGCGTTTTCGAGTTTTGGGGTGTTGGAGCCTGGATTCTTCCGGTCTGTTGGGGTTTAGGCTCAGGGCTTTGAGGGTAGAGAGTTTAAGAGGCAGACGAGCTTCTCCTCGGAGGTCTTCCGATTTTCTTGCATACCTAGACCAACCCCTAAACCTCAATAAAGCCTACAACTCTACATCCGTAAGCCAAGCTAACTGTTCGCCTTCTTGAGAAGCCCCGGAGCGAGGTGTCTGTGACTCTGCTCTTCCACAAGCGATAAACACTCAGGCTTTCAGCCCGATGCCCGGCAAAGCCCTCAGTCCGTGGTCCGTGGCCCTTGCACACCACGCCAGGGGCAGAAGATCGCCAGGATCACCTCAGGCCAATTTATGCTTTAGGCTTTTGGGAGAATCGTGTTGGGTTCAGGGTTTATGAGCGAGCCCCAAGTAGATTCCTGCTGGCCCAGCAGCATGGGCTAACCATTATACCATCCACCCCGACCTCATGCGTTCTCCGAAGCATCACTCCGTCTGCCAGAGCATCCGTCGGCCAACCGTGATAACGTCCACCCGGACCTCACCCTTTACTCATGGGTCAACCATGATGTCAAGCACCCAGACCTCATCCTTTCGCAAGAGCCGCCATGGGTCAACTACCTCATCCGCTCTCTGGATCTATTGGCCAACCATGATAACGTCCACACAGACTCCAGAGCATCCATTACCGATTACTGGCACTTAGAGCATCGACCGGTGGTAGAAGACGGCACAAAACTTCGTTCCCTCGGCACGCCATGCGAAGCATGGAAGAGAGAAATTCTGACCTCATTGCGTTCATGTGGAGGTACCACCTGTCGCTTATGCAAGACTTCATTCAAGCTCTGGATGACGTTTCCTAGTTCGTCCAATTGTTGTGCCTTCTGGACTTCTAGCCCAACTATCATCGTATGTGCACAAAACACCAGTTTTGGCCAATGTGTTGAAACTACCCTGTGTATTCCTAATTCCCCGGCTGTCAGCCTAGACACGTAGCTCCGCGGACGAAATGCCGAAAACCCAGGCGCAAAGCGCGCCGCATGGATTTTGTCTCCAGGTCTTGTGTGTGGCTGTGACCCCCTGCTAAACGAATCCCGAAAAAAGCAAAAGACCACAGCTCTCAAAACACCCTCCGAGGCCCCTTGCGGCCACGAAGAAGCTTGCATCGCCCACCTCGGCCAAGAATGCCAGCCTGGCAATGTGTCGCCAGGTCCATGGCTTAGGTGCCGGACTGCATTCAGGCTTTTAGGGAGAGCTCTGGGGTTGCAGGGGTTTAAAGTTAATAACGTTCCCAGGGGCTAGGGTATAGCGCTTACGTCAGTCGCAAGGATAGCAGTGGGACCGGATTCCACATTTGAGTCGGTACCTCTGACTTCCCACTGACGTGGTCTATACTAAGTCTATATGGGAGTTTCCAAAAATAGTGGACCCCAAAATTGCACCCCTGTAGTAGGATCCTCATTATCAGGACCCCTAACTAAGGAACCCCTAATTTTCGGAAACTGCCACGTACCGTAACCGAGCTCTGAGGCTCTGGAAAGCGGAAGTTGGCACTGAAACGCTCCCAAAGCCTGACTCAAAGATCCGCACCCAGACAGCCTTCCCCAAAACCCTCAAAGCTCGAAAAGCCTCGACCGTACCCGCAGAACCGCAGTCCATGCGAATCCTATCAATTCGGTCCCGGCCCGGCCCGGCTGTCTGGAGGATGTGGCCTGCCGCCTTGTGGGGGATTTGAGACTTACGGCCACGACCCCGACGATGACTCCAGAAGCTGCTTGTTTGGGACCAGCAGCACCACTACTGCGATGACTTGCGATGACGACGGCGACGACAATCGCTGGGACGAGCAGCACGTTTCAGTCTACGATCAACCTAGGTATTACTATTGGCCCTTGAACTGTCAATCGTTGCACTGTGTGGTCATGTTATGATCTTCGTGCCACATCACTGCTCCGGTGCTGCAACTAGCACCTCGTTCCTGTCTTGCAGTCTTCCTCTCAATCCGAATCGCTTATGGCTTCTTTTATCTACAGATCGGCGGGGTCCACCCCGAAAATATTCCATCGATCCCTCACTCGGCCCTCTGCCGGAGCTCATCACAAAATATGAATCAGGCTCAGGTTGCCGAAGTTAGGTACCACCTTATTTTGGGGTCCTTATAGTAAGCATCCTACTATTCAGGGTACTATAATTAAGGGTCGCGGATTCCTTGGCAGAGCAGATTTTACACGCGGAGGCCCCGTCGAGCAGGCTTTCTGAAGCTTTGCGAGGCCGGGGCCATTCACGGATGCGGCATGCACGCGCAGGAGGCAGGGCCTCTCGATTTAGGGTTTAGGGCTTTTCTGAGGGTTTAGGGTTTCAGCTTGGGGTTTAGGGTTTCAGTTTAGGGTTTAGGGCTTATCATTGCGTCGGGTTTGCAGGGCTTTGGGTAGATTGGGTGCAGGATGGAGGGTGAAAGCTAACTCTGACAGGTCTTGCAGGCAGTGTTTCGAATATACATATCATATATATATATATATATATATATATATATATATACATATCAATATAAATTCTGTGCGCATGGCGTTCGAGTCATTGCAAAGTTGAGGTGTCCACTACACGGGTCCTTCGACGCTGACATCCTTCAAACTGCATTTTCCTCCCCCCCCTGGCCAAGGCCCCAAATCCTGGAGTGCTGTGCTTCCGAGACAGAACAGCGAACCGAGCGGCTCCCTGCCACTCGTGAGGCTCGCTGCGTGACGCCTGCGAAGTCCGAGGCTTGCGGTTGAGACTTTTCTGGTTTCAAAGCTCATGGCTTATGGCTCACATGCCAACAACGCTGTAGCGGGCGGTGCCGGACACCTTGCAACAAAACTGGTCAACAGCATGTCTGCTCAACCAGCAACGTCATAAAGCCCAGGCCGGTCAGGAAACTAGCAGCTTTAAGCCTGCACCCGGGAAGCATAAAACATCCAGTTGACCATTATGACAGGAAGGACGAGGACTATTGCGATGGGCGAGCTGCACCAGCATGTGCCGCAACGCAGAAACGGATCCTTTGAGCGAGGACACCCATTGCATCAATCGTCGAGACAAATTGATAACTTACTGCAACCCACCATACCGTTGGAGCAGCAATGCGTTAAAGGCACACGCCTCTGGAAGGGGTCGTCCCAGCAACGCCCGGCTTCGATCTACGCGGATGCTGCAAGCCGACGTCAGAAGAGCCACAGGGAGTTTTGCGCGTCTGCGAGTATATGGGATTCGGGTTGAGGATTTAGAGCTCAGAGGTCCAAGTTCCGAGCCTGGCATGCGGTGTATGTACGTCAAGTTGGTTGGAAGCTCCGGATCGGGCTCTGTGGGGGCTTCTTCTTTCGAAGACCGTCGTGGAAGGACTTCCGAAATGGAAAGCAGGCTTCCACGAAGCATGCAATGGTCTGCAACCCGATTTAAGATGCGACATGCAGCCGGGACACTGACTACGTAAAGAGCCGAAAGCTCGAACAAGCAATGCCTGCAGGACCACACAACAAAAGGTTCATGGCCGCCGCGTTGATGAGGGAAGCTGGGGTTCAGGTCTGGCCAAGGATGTTGCCCACCAGCCCGAAGCACCAAAACATTACGGCCTGAGAGGAATCTGCATTTTTGAAGGTCTCCTGCCTTTGCGATCGGAGGCTATGTTTGTTGATTCGTGGCTGTCATGTTTGCGACTCTGAGCTGTGTTGCCATTCCGACTGAGGCGACGATGTTTTTGAAGTTCAGCCTGTCCGTTTGTGACTCCCGCGGCTGCCGTCTGTGACTGTTGCGGTGCTGCTTTTGACCACTGTTTCGCTGACTCTTGCTCTTGTTTTCTGAATGTTGCTTCTCTCTAGATGCATGCGAATCCGAATTTTCTTCGCATGGCTCATACATACATACATACATACAGACAGACAGACAGACAGACACACAGACAAACAGACAGACAAAGAGACAGACCGACGGACGGCCGGACAGACAGACAGACGCGAATACTTTCATGCATCCACACATCCATACATGCGGACATCCATACATCCATGCATGCATGCATAGGAATATCTGCCTGTAGATACAAGTGGGGTGGGCAATGCTAAGCTGTGCGTATGTGTATTTATGCAACAACATACATAAACACCTACATATATACATATATACACACACTTACATACATACATACATACATACATACAGACATACAGACATACAGACATACAGACATACAGACATACACACACACACATACATATACCCACACACACCTGTGTTTGTGTATGTGTGGGGTGCATGACTTGAAATTGTCCGTTCAGTAGTTATTGAGGTACATGTTAATGCTCCTTTGACGGGAGTCTGTGTGCGTGCGCGTGTTTATCTCTGTCTCTAGCTGTCCACACCAAGACGGAAAGGCAGACAGTGACAGAGACACAGGCAGACACAGACACGGCACAAAGGCAAAGCTACAGTCCAAGCAAAGTAACACTGCCGAAGCCGAGGCAACGGTGTGTTGGGAGTCACAGTAGTACCAGACAACAAAATGCCTAGCACAATCAATCTCAAAAATCAGTGTTCTTAGGTGGTGGCCTGGGCTGCCGATATTTCACATACCTCATGCACATGGATGCTGATGCTTGCGTTCCCGATTGACAACAATAGTGCTCACTGCACTGAAGCTGTGAAAACCGAATGCATGTCTATGTTATCATCGACATGGAACTGACCAAATAGCAGGAATCTGCGAATAACATGTCTTGCCACGCCATCGAGCGAGCAACTCGCCAAGCAAGTCCGCTTCTAGTCAGGGCTCGTTCTCCAGTCGCAAAACTTTACAAAGGGGGGAACGCTTCTTGATAGAGCCGTTGAGCCGTGCATACCCGGTGCCTGGCTTGGAGCATGACTTCTATGTCCAAGGATGTTGAAGCAGAACACACTAACACACTACACACAAGCAAAAGGAGGTCGAGCTCTTCCGCTTGTGTTTAGTCGACGGAGGTCAGGTGCAAATCAGTTCTAGGACAGCCCGTCTACGCGTTCCGCAACAGAAACTAACCCAAGGATGGAAAGCGTTGAGGTGACAGTGTCTGAAGGACTAAGTCAAAGCTCCGCGTGCAGTCGCACCTCGTTGCAAATCGTATGGGGCGCGGCCCGACAGAACTAAAACGTGCGGCTCCTCCTGTAGCGGTGCCGGTGAAAACGCATCCCGCGCTCGAGCGGGACGACCAGCATACAGGTTGACTCTTTAAAACTTCGGAGCCAAAACATTACCTGGCAGGGTTGAGATTCAACTCGCATGAGCGGACTACCTCAGTTCAAGAACGATGCGTGTCCAATAAACAAGAACGATGCATGTCCAATTGAGATGTTAAGTTGGTGTAAAGATGTGCTTCCCTTCCAGAGCTGTCACCACAACAACAACACCGTCTGTGCGATGGGACATAGGCATCAACGAAGCAATGACTTGCCAACCGATGATGGCGGCAGGACTACTCATATATGGAAGTCGCCAAAGGAAGATACAAAGAGCACGCTGCTCATGATCGGAGGTGATAAGAAGAACCGGACTGAAAGAATTTGAAAGAAGAAGCTTGAGTTCCAGCCACTGTCCTGGGCAACCGGCATTGACGCTCAATCCTGAACCAGAAGCCATCAAAAATGGCATGTAGTGCTTGACGCTTTCTCCGCGAAGCACATCGGAGGGCGAAGACATCTCGCTGAGAAAAGGCTCCGAACTACATGTCCTTTTTCCCCATGATGCCTCGCACAACCCCGGCGGCAGTCCAGGGTTTCCACTAGCCTGTCTGCAAAACCAGTGCCTCCGCGTACTACAGACCTTCCTGGCAGTCACAAAAAAAACGGATCGAGAAACCTCTGCATCCCAAATTTTCCCTGGATCGGGCATCTAGATTCTGTGGGATCCTGCTGACTTGTGAGACAACCCAGCGACAAGTCTGCAATGGGAGCCTACTACCACCGCTAATCCTGTACCACTCCGCTGCAACCACCACCAGCATGACTAATGCTGCTACTGATACGACGACGAGACAAGGACTACTGCTTCTTGCACTACGACTACGACTACGACTGCGACTACTACTACTACTACTACTACTACTACTACTACTACTACTACTACTACTACTACTACTACTCCTACTCCTACTCCTACTCCTACTCCTACTCCTACTCCTACTCCTACTCCTACTCCTACTCCTACTCCTACTCCTACGCCTACGCCTACGCCTACGCCTACGCCTACGCCTACGCCTACGGCTACGGCTACGGCTACGGCTACGGCTACGGCTACTGCTACTGCTACTGCTACTGCTACTGCTACTGCTACTGCTACTGCTACTGCTACTGCTACTGCTACTGCTACTGCTACTGCTACTGCTGCTACTACAGCTGCTGCTACTGCTACTGCTACTGCTACTGCTGCTACTGCAACTACTGCTGCTACTGCAGCTACTGCCGCTAGTGCTACTCCTACTCCTTCTCCTCCTCCTGCCTGTACTCTTACTCCTACTCCCGCTCCTGCTCCTGCTCCTGTGCCTACTCCTACCACTACCACCACCACCGCACCGCCACCGCCACCATCATCACCACCGTTCCTGCTGCTGCCACTCCTGCTAACGCTGTTACCGCGGTTCTCCTTCTTTCTCTTGAGCCTTATTCCTTATGGAGAAACGAACAAGTCCCCTTCGCATCTAACAGCTGAAGCCCTGGACGATCGAAAAGGCCCCGGTCAGGGCTCAAATCACTTCCGACTACTGATCTCGAAGTAACACACTGGTGGTCATCAGAACATGCTGAATTTCAGAATAAGTTTAACGCAAGACAATGATGATACTAAAATCACCCCGTTCATGGCAATATGACCCTGCCCAGAATGAGAAAGGATCACTTCTGAAACTTCTCCACTGACTCCACGTTGGTCTTGCCCTCCTCCTTGGTCGGGTGCTCGGAGCTCTGGTAAGGACTAGGATCTGGGGTTTAAGGTTCGGCTTTAGGGCTATTCGTGCAAGGAGACTGGCAGGAATACTGAGCCCTTAAGCTAATTAATCAGGTCCTTCGTCTACCAGATTTCTTGCGTTTCCTCTTCTGCCTGAACTTCTGCCTTGATTTCTTTAGACTTGGAAGGTTCGAGCGGTGTGGACTTCAATCCGACACCCAACCCAGGAATGATCTGCTTCCGACGACCCCGTTGCACGCACAGCTGCTCCTAAGCCTCTGCGAATATATCTCGAATAAAACTAGGTAGAGGGAGTGGAAAACAGACACACAGAC